TAGAAATCTTTGGGAATTAAAAGCATTGCTTGCATTAGGATGTTTAATAAATAGTTATCTGATTATGTGAGTGGGGATTCCAAAAGAAGAGTTGCTGGAGAGGAGGACTGGGTATGCCTATCACCACAACCCGGAACGTGCTTTATTTAGGATTTTGTATGGTAGAAAGCTTGCAGAGCATATATCTAGTTTTGAACTAAGGTTGCACTGCGTTCACTGTGTTGTTCACCATCGGTCAGTCTGTTTACAACGTGATTTGGTGCAAAAACATTACCATAAACTGACAAATAATACGTGCCACATATTTGTGACCCCATTAGCGAACCTGTACAATGCAAAAATACGCCATAATTTAGTGGTAGAAAAACCTGCCAAAATGTGGTACGGCTTTTGTCTTCGACTTTATACAGAGTTGTAGCGATGCAGAGAAGTAGGGTGGACACCTTTATCCTATCCTCTCTTGATGCATTACTTAACGAACAAATTGCTTACTCCTCATCCACTCCATCTACCAACTTTGAATCTCTCCATCCAGGGCCTGCTCACTTGAATGCCTATCTTGAATCTCTCCACCCTGGCACCGCCGGTCGCTGATCCATCTATCCTGGGTACTCATCCCTTGGACCCTCCACCTCTCCATCCACTTCAAAGTTGTCAGTCAAGTTGCTTAATTCTTAAAAGAAAATTAAAACATTTGATCCTTTTACTTGTCATTATTTTGATTTTACACAATAATTACTATAATTGTCACATTTGTAACCATAGGTAGCGCCCCGAGACCGCCTTGAAGACAAAAGGAGATGCACCACCAACATACGGAAGGGCTACAGGGCTACAGGCATGCCCCCGAGGCCAGACCGCCTGGCAGAGGTACATTTGTGGAGCTTTTCGGTGACTTTACCAAAATCAAGAGTTAGCAAAACAACCAATGTATTACATTTTTTGTAGGAACTTCTACCTTAAAGCCAAATCCCTCTTTATGATGTGCATTTTTAATGATCTCCAGCCCTTGGCAAACTTGTAAGGTGCAAAAAAATATTCCAGCTTAACTTTTGTGTGTGAAGATGCTACCAGCTGAAAAAAATGAAGCAGAATTAAGGGAGGAAACGGTAATCAAATCCCACACTTCTATGGTGACACCTTTGGTAAATAAGCTTTGTTTGCAGGGGATCAATGAACCTTCCACTCTGGGGTGCTAAAATGTCTTCCAGAGTGGAGGATGACCTTTCCTAAAAATATTAATGACTTTTTCGCGACCTTTATGCAATCCTAATGGTGTTTACGCCTTATTTTCAGTCGAACAGAGGAATGGGGACCGATTAGGCCAAACCTGGGTTCAGAGCTTAGAAAAGGATAACAATCGTATTTCTGTGGATAAAAAGGGGGATTTATTTGCTGACATGGTGATCTACTGCATACTCAATGTATGACCGAGACTTGAAGACCAGCTTCTGCTTCGGAAGATTTTTACTGGTGTTAATGTTTGTACCTAACGGATGCTGACCCTCGGAGATGGTCCACACTTGTGCCTGATGCCAGTTTTTGCAGTTGTCACAGCCATATTCGCCATTTGTAAGCTTCCATCATAGGCATGGCGTCGACTAAGTCTTCTGCGTGTTGACATTGCCCTCGTATGAGTGACTGGAATGGTGGTGGTGTGGGGCTGCGGCAACCATGATTGGAATCGTCCCTGTCAGTTGTCGGAGCACCATTGAAGGACATTGAAGCCATTCGATCATCTCACAGTGGCTTGACCTAATATCGACATGGAGAGTGTGTTTTAGATCTTCTGTGGCTAGTGAAGAAGTTTTGCACCTTTGTCGCGAAAGGTTTGGGCTTATCACCACGTGGTGTTGACCGTTCACGTACACAATGCCACCGTGACCTGTCATGCAGCCGAAGTAGGAGGCATTCAGTGACTCTCAGGAGAGGTAGTGCATAAATAAGCACACCCGTTACATGCAAGAAGGCCACATTGTTTCTTTTTAATGTAAATTCAGTTTAAATGTTGACGAAACCAAAAGTCTCGTTTTGATATGAACGGCCTTGATATCATCGGCTGCTACTTAGTCATTATTCCAAATTGCTTTCAGGCATTAGGTATTGCATCCTCAGATTCTGTTCACAACTTCTCAAAAGCTGTTTTTTTTAAAGTGGTTGCCAAACTATCGCCCCTGCTTCGAGTGCCTCCAGGTTTTGTCAGTCTTGACAACTAACCAATCAGTTAGTGGAAGAGCCTAACAAGTGGACAATTGACAAATAGGCCGGAATCTTGGCAGATAAGAGGATTATGGAAAGGGAAAATGGCTAGATTGACATATAAATGTGTAGATAAGTAAATGTGAGAATGAGTAGGTGGAAGGGCGAATAGGCCTATGGAAGGACAAAATGCAGCACAGCCGGAGGGCTCACTGGATATTTAAATGATAATCATCACCTTATTCCTTTTTTTTCAGTTTTGAGTCTTAGTGCATTGAAATACTCACTTAAAGGGGCAAAATCACTTATGCAGAGGAGGAATTGTCCGTTATATCGGGCTCCAGAAAGAAGAGTTAGGAAGGAATGCCCTTCAAGAAGCACAAAAAGGACTGCCTTTTTCTCCTCAGCACTGATTGATGAATGCCATGTCACTGCTTAGATAAAGCATTTTCTGCCTTCTTTCGTCCTCATTACCACGCCTCCGTAGGACGCAGAAATGCTGAAGATGGACATGCCTATGCACCAATCTAAATATAAAAACTAAAGTGAACAGACAAAATGCAGGTGCCACACACTTCCCAACCCTGGTCTCAAATTGGTTTCACCTCCCGGACAGCATGCGGCTGACGGGTTCAGCAGAGGGGATACAGGTAGTAGACGGATAGAAGAGGGATGACCGGATGGATGCAGAATGAATGAAGAGGTACTGGATGGGCGACATAGGAACCACTGAGACTAGTCAGTTTCGCCCCCCCCCCCCATGCTCCATATTTCACCTGACTTTTTTTTCACACGAGATAACTCCATCCCATCAAGAAAGATGTGGGGGGGGGGAGGGGGGATATTTAGAAGGTGCCTGCACCGAGTCCTCATTAAATTTTACCTTCTATTTAGCTATTCAATTTTGACATTCTGTGCTTAAAGATACCTCTCGTACCAGCTTAAAAAGTAACTAAAATGCTAAATAGAGAGCTTTTAAGGTGTTTTTAAATAGGAAATTTAAATGTGAGATCGTGGAGTTTATATCACTCCATTCCCCAATCTCTCGACAGTCAAGCAATGATTGGTTGAATTTAGATTCAACACAAAAGATACCCTATTTTAGTCACAATTCACAAGCACAAAAGTTTTACCCTTCAATGAAAGTCGGTGGCAAAAATAAGGAAGTTAAGCGCATTTTAAGTTGCTTAAACAACTCGAAAATTGCTTATGAAATGTTAACCTAATCCGTTTGATGGATGGGCAAAAAATGCACTAACTTTTTGCAGTCATGCAATTAGGAAGGCATGTTATTTAGCATAAGTAAAAAATAATCAAAAGTGTTGCAGTAAACAGAAATTCCCTAGATTTTGTAGTAACCAAAATTACAAATTAATGCACGAAATTCAAACGCTACTTATGACTGTAAGTAGTAAGCAACTCGTTGCAGCACCACTTGGAGTTAAACAAGCAGTCTTTTCAATGCAGGGATGCTCGGTTCCCTTTTCTAGCAAAATAATTATCGTCAAAATGAGGGATGGTAATTTAAATGAAAAATTATTAAAAATCAAGAAATTCAAAACGCAACACCATGGAATAACTTTGAGATAAAAGGTTAGCAGAACTATGAGTACATCGTGATAGAGGGTTGGAATGCATTCGCCTTGATTGCAGTCATAAACCGGTGGAGGTCTTTGTTTTGTGTGGCAAGTGGCTGAGTAGCTAGATTGTGGTCAGGTGAAGAGCATCTACCAGGCCGCAGATTTTTACCCAAACCATGGAATGATGTGCCGTGCATTGACTAGCTCGTAAACCACTTCAAATGTCCACGAGTTGGAAGTTGATGCCATCGGCAATAAGAAACAAGCCCAAGAATGGAGTAAGATCTCGACGGACTTATCAAAAATCCTTGGAAATTTAGACTACCAGTAATAATTCCGCCTAATGGTGACAAAAAGGAGGAATTAAGAATTGAAAAAACTCTTTCGAAGAAAAGAAATGTGACACCTTATGCAATTATTCACCACCAACAATCTCATGTCTGTCCATCAAGAGTCTATCCCATGTGCATCCTATGTCCACCTCGACTGCGATCCATGTCCATGCCGTATAAATCCCATGTCCATCACGAGTTCATCCATCCATCCTATATCCATCTATCCATCCATCCATTCACCATCCCTTCTTTCCTTCCTTCCACTACTCCTCTCATAGTTTTGCGTCCCCATTCGATTTTGTGAAATAACAGAAATTTGACATTTTACGTTTTGATGTTTTTTTTAGGAATCCACACAAGATTCCATTAATTTTATTAAGTTTAGTGAATATTAAAATACGTCTATTTTGATTAACTTAAACCAACCAACTTGAACAATTATCGCTGTCCTACCTATTATCACAATGATATATGGTGGTTAGTGCCACCTAATTTTTGTTCCAATTATGAAGTCGCTATGGTGACCTAAAAATGTGCACTTCACTTTCTCCACGTATTCAGCAATGATTGATTCGAAGACCAGGAATATTAATCTACTCCTGCTTTTCCGGCCAATCAAAACAAGCCGTTATTCACAAGCACAGCAGCATGTTTTGCCAGTTTGAATGAAGCGCCTTCTTCTAATTCCAAATTAGCAAAATGGTCGCCGAATATGCAAGTTTTTTCCCAAAGAGAGAAAAGCCCCTGTCAAGGGATTTGCTTGCCCACGTCAGACCAATCAATACTTCCTCTTCTGTGATTCGTTGATTGCTGCCCAATCGGAAGGCGTCCTTCAATCAGCCTGCAATATCGATTAATCAGCAAAATACGCACGCTCACTTCCACCATGTTCTGTTCGCGTCTTCTCGGGATTTTTACGCTTTTTTTGTCGACTTTAGCCTCGAAAGCCACCCTTAAAGACACCACTCTTCACCATTTAGAGCACTTGAACCTTCAGCACGGCTATCCAGTGGACGCGTTTGGTGGAATGTTTGCCACATTCGCGGTAAAAGCTCAGGGCCGACATGGGGACATCTGTTTCATCAAAACAGGCAAGTACGAAGGTGCATCTCGCCGTTGTCAACGCGCCATCCAAGCTCTGCATGGCGTCTATGGCGCTCGAGACTACAATAGGATCATGCGGAATAACTCGCACTGGCCGTATGGAGTGGGAGAGACGCGGGAAGCTAATACAAGGACGATGCAATCATGGACTCAGCATCTGTTCAAGCAGACGTGGATGTACATACCTATCTACCTTCAACATGACCTTGTACCAGAACGGCGTTTTAGCCGTGTCAGTGGACTGATTACCACGGAGAGGTTGGTGGCAATTCGAGAGGTGATGGAGAAGTGTGTGGAGGCATTGGCGAAGCCATTGAAGGCGGGTGAGATGCAGGAATGGGCATGTGGTTATGCGAATTTTCTGGCAATAATGCATGAAAGTAGGGCGAATATACCTAGAGATTGTGTGCAAGTGGCGCCTAGAAATGACAGTCAATCGATGTCTGGTGAGCTACTTATTTTTGAAATGAGTAGTATTTGGCGCAGTTTTGCGATGCCTACTAAATTTTCCTACTGCCTTGTGGCATTATCTCACTTAGGCATCCCAGTAATTGCATTTCTAACATTCTGCAAATAAGTTCTATTGATACAGACATAGAGTCCTCCTAGTCGCCTCCAAATCGTCCTGAGTATCCGTTGCTTTGCTTTATTATTTCTCAGGGGAGACTAAAGCTATCATGCTAGTATTTTTGGTAAGTTACTTCATTTCAAAAGAAAATTCCTTGCGTTCTACGAATGAATAACATGATAAAACGTGACGGAAGGGAGGTATCTCCTGTGGATGGCTGAATATGCCTTTGATAACCGCTGCTTTAAGACTCGCATGTCTGATAGCTTCTCTACGGGCAACTTGATCAGAGAAATTAACAAACCTTATTCACACTTTCCGATTAAACCCAAATCTCGATATTATTCATTGCTCTTCTCACTAACGCATTTATTAACATGGCCATTTATAAATTTTACATCCACATCAGCCCTATTTTGGCTCCTCTTCTGCAAGCACGCCTGGCGGAAAGCCATCTACCTACGTAGAAACGAATCCCATTTCTCCACATTTCATCCATCTTGTCCTAACGTTTGCGCTCGCTATCGTGGAAATCCTTGCCTGGGCAAGGACAATGTTGTCCAGCTATCTAACTCTCTTGTAAAGGGTTCTTCAGACCATCATGATCGCATCTACGGAATGCAGATATGCCGAAATATTGACAGTGGTGTTGGAGAAAATGGTGAAATGCTTGAAGGCTATGCCACGCTTACGGATCAGGCCTATGAATGCGTGTGCAGGAAGGTAAGCATTCTACTGATACCGCATAAGTAAAACATGCGCACCCAACGTTCAGATCTAATCGAAATTCAAACTTTTTTACAAAGGGAACATATTACTTAGAATAAAAATTGACAGATTTGTTGACGTGGTAAATTTAAGGGCTACGTGTGGTCAAAAGAGACAAAATCCTGTGTCCTGGAGGACGGCTGTGGTGGTGAATCGAAATGCGATCCTCGTGGCACACGAATGTGTGTCTCTTCGGTTGTGAATCTACCAAATTCCTTGAGTCTTCCTTTCGTTTGTCTCTGCTTCTCCGGTTTCATGGGCGCTAGGTGTGAGAAACGACGTGATGCCTGCATTGAGGTCAGGTAGTTCCTGAATTCGAAATATCTAGTCTACTTAATCAAGCGAGTAGCAGCTATTTCCTCCAAGTGACACTTTGACACTGCAAGTAATGTAGGATAAATCAAAGCCAAGCATATTATTTTCAAGTTAAATTTAGTGACATTAAGAAATAAAACGAATAATTAGGACTATCATTAACATGCAGAAGGTCTGAATGACCAGTAATATAGATAACAGAAGGTAATATTTTAAATTGTAACTTGAGGCAGACTCTGCCATTCCTTTGGCATTTAAAGGTGTCACCTAAGCTACAAAATTAAGGTTCTTTTTTATTAGAGTGAATTTTCTGCTTAGTTGTTCAGATTGTCTTTAAACACATTAAATAGGCTGAGTCTGGGAACAATTTATAAACAACATACCGAGGGACAGGGAGTCTAACAGTTTAAGAAAATGAAATAATCTTATAAGGTGCTTACAGCCAAACGCTTATAACACATAAACTCGTCGTATTAAACTTGGTCAAAATTTGGTAATTAGGCTTTACAAAGCCCATTCGTTTACCTTTCAGAATGAAGATCCAAACCAATTATCAGGAAACCAGGCATGTCGTGTCTTCCTTGGTAACAGTTGTAAACCCCGAATAGGGACGAACATCTACACGTGCCATTGCAGTGACATCTATACTGCCGATGAAGCAGTCGCATTTTCCAACTGCTACCGTGTGAAACCGATCTGCGCTGGAGTGAGCGGGTCCTACTTTCCCACTTTACTCTTAAAAGATACTTCTATCTAGTGATGTGATTATTACAAATACCTATACAATTTTTGAAGGGCTGATGCAAGGAATAGGTCTTATTAATTAAGTTAAATAAATCATATTTCTATTATTTAGATTTGATATGCTTCCATTCCTTGCTTACTCAAGGTCATTTGTCGACGTGGCGACTGCGTCTCATCGCGAGATCAACTCAGCTACGTGTGTGTTTGTCAGATGGGTTGGCGTGGACGACATTGTGACACTCCCGACATTCGCATGTGGTTAGTTTTTACATCAGCTAATAGCAAAAAAGATTCAAAATTGTGCTACTTATGTTTTTGTCAGTAGAATGCCTCATTAGGCCATTTTTCCGCGTAATTGGGTTGTTGCAAATCTCTACTTGAAATTTTTCCTTTTAAAACGATTTTGGAACAATAAGTACTTTAAGTGCATCTCATTTTGTTAAATTATTTCTTAAGCAATCTTAGTACTCTCCATTTGTAGCATTGAGTCATTACTATGCGGACAAATGTAGGTTTCACTTCAATAAATATGGTGCCAAATTTAGTTGAGATTTTACTGCAGCTCCAGCTATTAGTAACGCATGCATTATACGTATCCGAGTTACGCATTTTAATCTAGACGCACCTTAGCTACAACCGGTAGGGGAGATCATTGTGACATTAATGGAAACTGATTACCATCAATCAAAAAGACACGTCAAAAATATCACCCTTCTACACTCCAAGATAAAAGCCTGTAGTCTATTGTTCGAAGTAAACTTGCAAGAATTACTTTCCCACTTATTTTACTGTTTTACCTGATTGTAGGCTTCCGTGGGAGGCATGGAGTGGGTGTTCCGCAGAAATTTGCATGGGACTCGGCTGGCGACATCGCGTTCGACATTGTCGAGCTAATCTTACGCATCTAATCACTACTGAAATGGACAAGGGGCTTTGTGATGGGGAGGATGTACAACGCCAACTCTGCAAGGCCACGTAGGTCCATTAGTGGAAAAGAGTCCAGACAGACAGATTAATGGAAAGATGGTTGAATTTGAAATTGATAGAATGAGTAGTGACGGTGATTGGCTGCACCCAGGATGGTTGTACGCATTAACCGTACATTGAGTCTGAGTTAAGTGGATGGATGCGGAATGGGCGGGTGGATGATTTACTCGATCCGACATGGAGAGGCAGATCGACCACTGGATGCGTCAGTTGGGTGTTATGCTAGATTTAAAGATAATTATCCATAATTTGTATTTAATTTTAGATGTCCGGACCCGGTGGGCCCTTTTATTGTTTTTATGAAGACCATCCTTGTCTTCTCCTTCGGATGTGTGATCATTGTCGCATTTGTGGGCTTGGTGTTTGTTAGAGTGAGAATTGAAGTTGAATGAGTGAGAAGCATATCTAATGACCCGGTTGCTTATATTCCAGAAAGGAATCAAAGTAAGCTTAAGTACCATTAAGGGGATTTCAACCATTCATCCATCCCACATCCATCCATCCATCCATCTACCTTTCCATCCACAAGCCTATTCATCTATCTACCTGTCTGTCTCCATCCATCAGTCTCTGCGTCTGTCTGTCCATTTATCCATCTATCTGTTATCTGTCTGTCCTAATATTCGTCGCCCCGTGTGTCTTACATAGCCATCTATCAAGATATCGGTCTATTCACTCATCCATCTGTTTTCCCATAAAAAGCTCTCCATCCATCTCCTTCGCTATCCCTCTCTCTATTTAAGTCTATTATTTCGTTTGTTCCATCGAATTTCCAGTTTTCCATCGCGGACCGGTAGGAGGGTTAATAATTTTCCACCTTTTAAAATGCACCCTCTTTCATTTAGTACCCTCTTAGCTATGATATCATATGAAACAAGTTGCTTGCCTTTTTATCTTCTAAGTGAGTCAATTTTTCACCAAAAACGACGAATATTTTATGGTCTGAAGTTATAAAATACCCCCAATAGTCGAGAGCACTGATGGCTCGAGGAGGCGACTGAAGCGAGGTCTACCCAAATGGCATTCGTTTGGTTTATTCAGGTTTGCGCGAATCACTCCAGTTCGTAGAGCTTTCACATTACAACTGCATGACGTGTGTTTGTGTGTAACTTCAAGTGTGGGGCACTTTATAATCTCATGCTTAAAATGTATGCCAGTGGCCTACAACTAACAGTTCTCTCATCTACTGCGCTGACATAAACACTGTGTACGCTAAAAAAGAATAGTCATCTGCAAAGTTGCTTTTCATTTTACGCCTTCAAGAGAGCCACGAAAAACCTCTCCGAGGTTGGTCAGTCAAGCCAATCACCTTGACGGCTACTGTGGAACGAATCCACCCCCACCCAGTCACAATAGCTGCACTGCATAAGTGGGCTATAAAATTGGTGCTCGAGTAATAAATATACTGACTGCTAGGATGAAGAAGTTGCAAAACTCCTCTTTAACCAGTCTATCATAGTTGACTATGCCAAAGCAAATCTATATTTTTCATCTAAAGGGATTCCCTCTCTACCCTCATCCATACCCATCTTATCACTTCCGTCACTAGCACTCGACTTTTCAATTTGCTTGGCCTAATAAGGCAAAAGAATTTTGCAACTCCTTCATTATCTCATCGTTCTGTTTGATCAGGAGTCCGGAAACGGAGAGAAGGCTACTACTGCGCAATCATTTCATCAGTTAATCTGGCATTTGTGTTATTCAATGCCAGAAAGGCATTGATGTGATAATTTGCGGTAGAGTTGAGAGAAAAGTGTAGCTGGTAGTGGTATACAAATTGTGTATTTTGTTGTGCAAAATCGCTCAAGTTTAAAAGTTTTATGTGGTAGATTACCAGGTCTTGTGAAAGACCAACGCAGTGGTCTTGAACTCACCAATAAAAATCAACGTTGAGGCGATTCTTATCAAAAATAAGTAAATAAAGGCAAAAAACACCTATCCTCCCGAAATAGGCCACAATTTCAGCATCTCTATGGAGCACTAACACACATCGCGGTCTTCTTTGCATTATTTTATGGTGACCAGCCCCACGCATCCGCTTTCCTTGAGCTTATTAAGATGAGTGTAATGACGCCTGACAAGACATAAGGTGTTACTCCTGCGCTATCATATAAAGTACAAAACCCCTTATCTCAATCCCCCACACAAAAAATTCATCAAAAGCCAATTGATGTCACCATCCACACTTAAAAGGACCGGTGTTAATACATAACATGCTTGATCGTCAACTTGACTCATTGGCATTGGCAATAATCGTAGGTACCCAAAATCAATTGTTAGGTTCCGAAGCTACCAAAGAAAACTGTCTCAAGGAGAAAGCTATCACCACACCTTCGATATTTGCTTTTGCACCACAACACCAACCCAATTTTTTTTTTCTCGAAACTTGACACTTTTAATTCAATGTGCCTCGTGTGGTGGCCAGACGTAACTCGGGTGCTACATTACTGACAGAGGAGCAAGGTCTCAGGCCGAATCTGTAAAGATTCACAACAGGAGGACCATTGAGACTGCCTCGAATTTCAGCCGCTACCTCAACCCCGAGGTCGTCGTGATAACCAATGGGAGAGCAAGGTCGAGGTTTGGACCAATCAGAAGCACCCATGAAATAACTCCTCAATACTGTTTACTACAGGGTCGGCGATTTTTAAAGGAGTCGAGAATAATTAAGATAGGCAAATGAGCAGTACCAAAATAGTCGAGAACGAGAGAAGGAACAGGTACCGAGGCAGTCAATCCTCTACGGTGCGGGTCGTAAGAAGGATGTGACAAGCGGAAAAGCGAACTCAGGATGGACGGACCCCGAATGAGTGGATCAGTACCGAGGTGGTCGAATCTGAGACTGGGTTGACAGTTATATTTCACGTGGATCCAGGATAAATTGATTCGAGGTGGACGAAGGAAAGATGTAAAGACCTACGGGCAGATAAGAAATGGGTAGACGATCACGGACTGGATGACTGAAAGCATCAACTCCCATTTCAATCTATCCTCCCCATTACCCGACTAAATCGGGAAGACAATTCACTCTGACTTCTTCCATAGTCATACGATTTTTCTTCGTCACAAAAGGAGTATCAGCAGCGGGGGGAGAGGAATAAGAGGGAAAAAATAAAGGAGAAATACAAGGAGGGCAAAATGAGGCCTATGATTGTTTTAATACGTTTACATCACCGTCATTTCCAAAAAAAATTCAATCACCTAGAGCGCGGTAAAGAATAAATGGAAGGACAGGGGGACAGACAGACTGACATATAGGCAGAGGAAGCGGGAATATAGGTACCACAAAACCTTCTCGGCACTTCTCACCGGCGACTATGCCTACTCCGCCTTCTTGTGGTCCATGACCTTTCCATTGGTGATGATGGATCCATTCGACTCATCTACCCGCTTCGCCAATCTTCGTTTGCGCCAGTAGGCTTGCACGTAGAAGTTGGAGAAAAGGACGAGGAAAATGACAGCGTATATGACGATGGCGAGAGGAAAGACCTTGGGATAGCGACACTCCCAGTTGAAGGGCGTCAAAACCTGGCCCTGGTGCACAATGAAGATGCAAAATTGCACCATCTGCAGGACGGTGAGGTACTTTTTCCACCAGAGGTAGCGGTACAGCCCCAGAGCTGCCATGCCGTAGTAGGTGTACATGATGACATGCACGAAACTGTTGGCCAGGGGGAACATGTACACGATACCGCCTAGGAGATGGAAGAAAAACTCAGCATGCCTGGGAAAAGAGCTTGATGATGTAAAGCTTCAACGATTTGGTGCGTGAGTAAATGGACGGATTTGAGGGAGAAATACAGCCAAATGTGCTGGGGATCAAAAGGATTGGTTCACGATGGCTGGACGCAAGGATACAAGAGAAGGAATACCACTGCCACAACTGTCTAACATACTACTTGTCGACTGCTTATAAGTAGCACTTGATAAACTGGAAGGTATGGAAGTAGATCTGGAATGGGGCAATGAATACGGAATGGAATGGGCACAGAGGATGGAAATTGAAGAAGACGAAAATTTAAGATGATACAACATAGATGAGGCGATGAATCGGCCCAAGATGAGTGGACAAGGGCATTTAATCTGCTGGAATAAATAACTAACCCCCAAATACCTAAAAATTTCCAGATCCGTTCATGTATTCCTTTATCTTTCTTCCCTACCACTGATAAATCAATACATTAAGGATTTGCCGTCGGCTAGCTAACGACTGCGCAAAAAGTGGGTTGGAATACACATGGTTGTGGATTTGCAATTGTCTCTTGCCATCATTCCTAGGCCCGGGCTGTTTACAAGACCATTAAGCAGTCGTTTTATTATCAACCATGAGTTCGGTCATAAAATTGGCAATGAAGCAGCACAGGTGATTTATGAATGCACATTGCTCGACGAGTTGAGCTAAAAGTTCCATCTCTTTTGCATGCAGGTGATTCGGATCACACCAATGAGCCAGTCAGCCACACTGACACGTGAAGATATAGGCTTAAAGTTGAGTTGAGACTAAACCAGCGATGGACAATGTGAGCCATGTGAACGTAGGTATGGTAGAAGCAGGTTTTTTTATCATTTCAACTTGGAAAAAAAAGACTCAAAGTCATAAGACATTAAAATACTTTTCGGAATCTTCTACTTTTCAGAATATGCAATAAAGATTTCACGGTCTGTAGCAGTCATCAGTCATGTCTTGACTTTTCATTTGCCTACTTCTCTCTTCCATTCTAGTTCGACACTTGTCAACCTGCTTATGAGATCTGTGATATTGGTGAGAAAGAGGAACAAATCGTGTTCCGCCCTACGCTCCGTATGGAGGACAGTTGTGGCTGTGTGGAGTCACCTCGGATTGCTCTGCATCATGTCAAATGACTGAAGTAAACAGTTCGAAATAGGTTGTACCGCTGCAGTGACTGCCAAACACTCCGGAACTCCATCCTGCTTACTGTCACGACGACGAGGAATGAGGAAAGCTAAGAACCTAAGAAGCGAAAAGATAGTTAAATTGAAGCCGCAGTAACAAGTGCCATGGGGGTCCCATCGGAGGTAATTGTAACACTGATGGCCAGCCACTCCAGGCCAGACATTGTTAATCAAGATTGCAGTACGTGGTGAAAAACAAAAAACATATACCCAAGGCCTCAAACACAGTCGCTTAAAAGTCTACCGCACCCCTGCTAGTAACGACCTCAGCTGCGGCGGTTCCGCCCCCCAGAAGTCACTTCTGTCAAATCAGTTAGGGGGGGGGGGAAGGGACGACCGTAACCCTAACCATCAAGCTTGACCACTGGTCATGGCAGCTCTCTGTCTTTGAGACGTCCAGCTGCGCTGACAAATCTACGACAAAGTTCTTCCCCGAGTGTTAGTCGAACTTCGAGGCAAGTATTACGAGCAGATCCAATTTTGAACAATCCTTGTAACTTGTCGACGGAATCGATGAAACCGCGAACAGCACACAGGACTAAGCTCAACTACTGCAACTTTCACAACGGAGTAAATGACGTGTTTGGCTGAAAGCCAGGCGAATTGAGATAGAGCTAATGCACGCACACACCCAACCACACGCACACGTACCGTATTCCGTATCAAAGGCACTACACACACATGGGTACACACATCCACCCATACGTACAATAACAAGCACCCATGAGTCGGTGCTAGGCAGCAGTGGTAGAGGAGGAGTCCAAACCCTGAATCAATGTATCAGCTGGGAGGGTTCCACACTTCACAACGCCGGATGCATAAACAGGCTAAGTGAAATCCATCCCAAGGTACGTAGGATGCAGGTCAAGAACTCGATCACGACGTAATGAAGAATAAAAAAAGAGGACACATCTCGCAATTCATCACAGATTCCACCGTTGCAGAACTGCTGATTGATCTGCCCATCCACCTATCCCGAAGCCATCTGGATGATAGTAGAGGAGATAATTCCTCTTCTGAAACTCCTTTAATTCATCCAGTCCTCCGAAGTCTTTGCCTTGCCAATTTTCTTGCTCAAACTGATCTCCGTGTTGTTCACTTACTTGCGGATAACTTCGCTTACTGGATCTTCCACGAGTAGACGGTCTCCAGCTAGGAATACTATGGTTCGGACGATCTGACTTATGACAGCTAGGCCTCCTCATTTAAACTTCAGGTAAAAATAGGACTTATCGTGAAACGGAACAGCACAGTGCATTGCGGACAACAGTTTGAAGCATTCACCAACGAAGAAGGCGTTTATCTAGCTAATGAACGCACGGCACATCGATAACCTCCCTTCTGGCAAGTGGTCCCGGTCTAGCTATGGAAATGGGTCATGTGCTATATGCGAGTCAGAGGTGGGCTGAGACCAGGGCAGTGGATGACGACCTGAAAGCAGACACATTTGTCGCCTTGCCACACGTGGCTCATCGGCAGCAGCAGCAGCAGGAGCAGCAAAGCTCAAGTTTCAAACCAAAACCGTTGAATTGCACAAAGTGCAGCAACGAGGTGATGCAGGTGACTAGATAACCGAGTGAGACCTAACTCTGATCGGTCACCTTCCAGCCTAAGGCCATAGATCCACTTCACCACCACGGTTACGTTTAGTACAAATTTAATACCGATTCAAAGGATGAATGGGTGAATGACCTTTAGGGCTAAGGCATGTACTAAAATATCGTATCGTTCACTTTCTCAGAGTTAGATAATGAACCAGTACCTTTTGAGTTTGCGACACCCCCATCTTAAGGTCACGTAGATGGGAAGGCACCCGTAGTTTCAACAACAGTATACAAGAAACGGAAACGTTGAAACAGCTATTCTTACACCCTAAAATATTGCTCAAAACTCCCACACAATTGCGAATCTCACCAGTTTTCTTGTCAAATCTTAGAAGCATTTAGGAGTAAACGGGTGAGTTTCGACGCCAATTCAATGAGGCACACCTTCATGCAGAGAAAATATGTTAGGAATTCTGAGCTTCAGGGAGCACTTCTCGTCCAATTCCGTCGACAGTGAATGCAAGGACAAGAGGATAATGGAATGGCCTGATCTTGTAGAGGTGCCTTCGGGCACAAAGATCTCACACCTCGAGGGAAGGTCGCTAGTACATCAAACCCGACGACACCTCCACTTGCATCCCATACAGAGCTTCCTTTTCAAAACCAGCGAAAGATAAACACTGGAAAACGCTCACTGTCTTTGATACTTGTTTGGCAAAGAAAAGAAAGGTTGGCCTGAAACCGGATATTCTTAACCACACCAGAGCTAGAGTGGATTTCGATGCCAACAAAGGCGATTAAACGATCTACTTCCGGTTTGCCTAAATGTTTTTTTTTCGTGGGGTACGATGCACCAGGCCCCTCGGGGCAGAAGCCACATTTTTAATGAGTTTCGCAGAAGAGAGAGAGAGCGGAAAAAACCAGCAGCATAAAATTCTCTTTTGCAAATCAAACCAAAACCACTGCATGTATGACCTCAAAAACTGGTCAACATGATCAAATAACGAACCGTACAACAAAAAGTGTAGATAGCCCGGTTCAAAACTCACCTGGAGCGTATTTAATACCCCACCAGATTGAAGGAGGCATAGCACCGTGATGGAAAACATGAAGGAAGGTGACCTGGTCATATTTGCCCCTCAGTAGGAAAAATAGAGTATCGAGGAGTTCTAAGAACTTGGAGAAGTAGAATAGGTACCCCACTCGGATGAAACGCCGTTGAACCGGGTCATCCTTTGGGTCGAATTCGACACAGCCAAGACCGTAGCCGGTTAGCCGAAGCAGATCAAGTACTTCAATCACCATGAAGGCGGAATAGAAGACCATTGCGATGTTATACGCCACCATAAGGATTTTGATAGAATCGAAGGAGGAGGAAGAAGAAGAGGAGGCCTTGGCAACTTGTTTCTTGTTGACAGCATTCCCATTGCTAGCATGTCCATTTGCTGAGGCCTTTTTCTTTTTTGGAGCGGCTATCTTCATCCACGTATAGACACCGACCACGTACGCCAGAGAGATAAGTGCCGTTGGCCAAAAACTCTCCATCAGAGGATAGGCTGCTGACCTCGGATCGGGATCAAGGGGCATCCATCGTTCGGAAATTCCTTTTGGCATGGTCTGGCGGCGCTGTGGAAAGGACAAAAAGTGAGAAAGAAATCAACGGAGGGAGAGAGATAGAGACCAACAGGCAGCCAAAGCAACCAACGCTAAAGTGCGCAATCTGCGCACTTGCGTGCACACATGCTACTGGCGTGCGTGCATGCCATCCAAAGTAGCCAATGAACACTCTGTGTCTGTACTGACTGACCAATCAAGTGCCTTACAGATCCCAATTCGTCAGTGTAGTCTATCGATTGACGGCGAATGAAAGCATGGGTGCGTGTGTGTGCATGATGCTAATTGGTGAGCCGGGGGGATAGGGGTGGGGTCCCCCTAATGAAAAAGGGAGGTTGACAGTATGGTGATCCAGTAGTGTGTTTCACTGTAGCCTTCGGTGGTTGTTGTACTTGCTTTCATTATCTAAAAAGCCGGGCCGTTTCATGTCCCAATAAAAAACAATTCGTCCATATAAATAAAAATTTCTTTTTTAAATATGATCATGCAAAAGAGTATTTTTAAAATAATGATTCGATGTGTCTAGTTCTGTCTAACCCGGTCACCAACTTATTACTCTCGAGTCCACCTATAGGGACAAGATTTTAGCCTGTCTAAAATAGGACTCAGCCACACTGTTTTGTCTGTGGGGGTGATCAATCACGGGACTATGCGTCATGAACCAAGGTCTCAAGCGTAGACTAGTAATTTTGTGTGTCTGAGGCAAGCTAGGCGTTGATAACGTGAAGCCAGGATTGTTCTCCACACGATATCTTTATTACCCTACTCTGGCAAAAGCGAAAAGCCGCATTTATTTTATCGCGTGGAGTCTTAAACACCATCTAATCAAATCGCACCACCAATTGCGATCGTCTAGCTTTGGTGGAGACCATGGCAGCTGTAATAAATCCGGAATTTTTCCCTCCAACCTCCAGCTTCAAATCCTTTGATTAAGAGGATTGTGTAGTGGAGGACATCTCGCATTTGAGTAGTATGGAGCAGGCTAACAGAACGTCAAAGTATATGGCCAATCAGGGCTTACAGGGGATCAGTGACGTTCGCTCAGCCACATGGTTGGCGTAAAATGACGGCTTGTCACCTAAGTGGTAATAGCCAAGCCAACAGGCGTCACACTTTAATCGCCTTTACCGATTATTGATTTTTCGCCGTTCTGGTGGGAGGGGAGGAGGAAAGAGTAGCAACTAACCGCCATCGATCGAATCGCGAGGGGGAAAAATCGATAAACGGCGCAACTCCAAAGCGCCACCTGATTGGTCAGCGGGTGTGCAAATTTATTTTTAGCGATGGAGCAATCAAGACGTAGAAGGAGTGAAAGACAAGCGATTACTTCCACTGGTTACCGTAAGGCGGTTAGGAACAAACAGCCCAATGTGTTACTGTGGCAACCGGAACGGTCATTTTATAAGGCTACACTAAAAATTCTCAAGACTGAGGTAGTTCGCGCCCCTTAGATGAGAGAGAGTGAATAAATAAATAATTGCTTTAACTTGCAGAAGGAGTTTGGCTGAAGTGTAAATTTTGTTTAGGTATTTAAAGAAGGCGAAACAAAAAAGTTTTTTGTATTACTCATGGCAGATACGTAAGTCCTGGCAAAGTATCCTCGTGCCAATCATCACCGCTGAAAAATTGTCAGATTATAGAATATGAATTCCAAGTAGATGATTCGGGGAGAAATAAGTGATCATGCCATACAAAGAATAGTAGATAAATGGATGGATGGATGGATCCGGGATGGATGGATGAGTTTGTTAATTAACACCAGGATGAATGTATTCCGGGGCCGGCCAATTTTCTGTTGTCGCGCCTACTAGGACCCATTGCAACATAATGCATGTGGCCTAGGCTTCGATCAATCCCGAATACTTTGTCTGACAAATCACGTGACTTGTGCTGCTGGAAAAAAGTTTCAACACTCCTTTAACTTTATTATCTCACTCCTCACGAGACTTTTTTACCATGCACTCCTCACATATTGAAGACCTCTGCTTGAAATTTGCGTCAGCTCATGTGACTCTCCTCACCTCTAACAAAAGACATGATACAACCCACTATCCAGCCTTCGTCTATCCTCACATGCAAGAATGCCTTAGCGACACTATCGGAGCTCATTGTTTTCCACCCTCCAGCAGCATGGAAATATCGCCCTTTCATTTTACACCAAAAAACGCTTAACGTTGGGAATGAATCTGTGACTCTGTGCCAACATACTAAGCTCCGTCTGCAGGTTGTCACAGCATTCCCTGCTGCCATCTTTGTGAAGCAGCTCGATGCGAGCGCTCCAGTGGATAAAAGTACATCTCGTCTGTAATGCCTGAAGGTCATTTAAAATTTTTCTGTCTGCAATCACACATCAGGCAACACAGTGGAGCGCTTTTTCTTTTTAAGTCAAAAAATCAGCTAATCACTTAACAATGCGTCGCCTGATTGCACCACTTAATCAATAGGGTTGTCAAGTTGCAATCGCCTGTCACATTGACACATGGCATGATCCACCATACGTTGGCTATTAATAGCCATCTTTTTTTGAGAAGAAGAAGCATAAAAGCAATGCGTGGACTTGGCGCTGGCAGGTAGTTACAATCATGAAGTCTGACGTGGATATCGGAAATCGATATTTAACGTGACATGTCATTTAAGCAGTATAAATTATGAATGTGGAATTCATCTTAACAATAATAGTTAATATTTTAACTCACAAATAAACACGATTTTGTGGACACCTAACCGCCTGTCAGTGATGTTTCGCTCAATAAGCAATTGACAAGACACCGGTAATTAGAGCCCAACCAATGGGAAAGAAGCGTTAATTAAAAAGAGAAGAGTTAAGTAGATAGTAAGGTTGTAAAATTAATTTGCGACTAATGTTGCGAAAAGTTGCGACACACAATTACCTTCATCAAAAGGGTGATCTTTGCTTTTAATGTGACAGCGTGGGTGGAAGGGAGAGGAGCAAATGAGTGAAGGTGTATGTGGGGGTGGTGGGGTGGGTCGGGGCAGGGACTGTGCATTGTGCCTGGCGAAGCCGCTGAGACAGATGAAGGGTGTGCCAAGTGAGCATCATGAAGGTGGTGGCATTTCGGTGTTAGGAGGAACGCACACATCCATCCGCCCACCTCGCACCCATCGCGTATCCATCCTGTCTGTTGCAGTTCTATCTATTCGGAATTTAAATTTTGCAATCTATTTAAGTGCACGTGCTATTTGAAATTTTGCGGGTTCATCTAGGGTAAACAAGTTCATCCCTCACATGTAGGCAGACAACATCTATTTGCTAACAATTTTTTGCGTGAATTCATGCACAATTATCAGAAATCAGGTTCTTTTCCGTTCGGTAGAATTTATTTAACCATATTTTTATCTCGTCATGCAAACTACCCTACTTAATCGCAATGTGTGGTGAATTAGAAACTCAAAATTATTTTATTCATTCTCCTTACTCTTCATGAGAGGGTGAGACTGAATGCACCACTGCAACCGATTTAATTGTTCACCCTTCTCCCTTCAAATTGTTGCAGAAAGGTCTACTTGGCTGTTTATGTATAAGGCAAAGGACGGCACATCAATCACTATTTGAGTGACCCTCGGTTTGATGGTGGTTTTATTCCTGGCATTCACCACCGAAGCATACATCTTTTCAATAAAAAAGGCTAATCGTAACTAGAATATGAGGACCCAGTTCTTAATCTCCTCGTTGGTTTAAGGTGCTATTACCAGAGAGCTGCCTTAAACATACTATCACTTTAAAAATCCAACCGGTAAATGCAACACTTACTTTCAACGTTTAATCCTGCCGTTTTTATCTGCTAAGATGTTTACTAGCCAGGTAAATGATAGCAATCATGGGTGCTAGTTGTAGTGAGCAGTGCGTCTTGAGGAATGGCTAAGTACCATGGGATGGAAAGCCGCTCCAACTTCCACATTCTTTACTGCCACTCCTACGCGTTGAGCCGCACTGGGGTTGGCTGCAGTGTGCACGTGGGGTTTCAAATTAGGCGCGCGGAGGTAGATGCGACTGAGTCATCGCGCAGACACGCCCGCAGATAGCGCAGTGATGCTGGCGGTGCGACAGATTTTGATGCCCGCCCGCATGGTCACCGGGACTCTGAATTAAGTAGCGCATTGTGGGCTCACTCTAAGGTAGAACATCCACCTTGTTGGACAGGATTGTGATGTCTTTGTGCTCGATCAGCCTACCGGCTGATGAGACTGGGAAGCAGCCCGGATATTTGAAACAGCATATGACATAAAAAAAATCACAGAAAATAAATCATTTTTTGAACTGATTTTGAGGTTTTAATTTCACTTTAAATTCAAGCAAATTTAATAGACATGTTGACAATATTTGCAAAAGTAGATATATTTTTTATGCAACATAACGTAAAATAATTTTTAAAGCTGAAATAACGTAGCAATTAATGACTTTTATTTAGCATTAGGCCTTAATTAAACTCAGCAAATGTTTGTTTGAACTAATTACATTTAGTACAGGCTTTTAAACAGGGGGCGTTGCCCAGTTAAAACATAAATAGGAGTATTTTAGTGTGCTAACAGGTCTATGAAACATATCTCCAATTTTGTTAAATATTTCCCTTACTTTAAATCAATATCGACGCTTACGGCTTAGATCCAACTGGATCTTAGGCGGATCTGTCTTTGATTTTTATTGCGTAGCTACATCTCGCAACCGGTTTGTGCCATGGCTTTTCCGTGGAAACGCATCTGTTTTAGGAGTATTTTGGTGACCAGTTTTTGCAACTCAGACGGCTTGGAGGATTTAGTCTAGTCATTAAACTCTAGCAATATTGCATCGACTCAGTAATTGCTTCTTACTTCCGGGCGTGGTAACTTTTCCTCATTTTTAGTAACGTACCCGACGTAAATAATGGGTGTTAAGGGACTCTGGCAAATTCTTGAACCCTCCCGCCGTAGGGTTGATTTAGAATACTTTCGGGGCAAGCGGATGGCTATTGGTAAGTCAGGTTTTCTTGATTGCCTATTTCCGACTCTTAGACATGAATATTTGGCTACATCAGGCGCTCAAGGCAAACGTCAAGGGCGGTCGCAATTCGCATTTGGCCATTCTCTTTCGACGGATTTGCAAACTTCTCTTTTTTGGAATCCGTCCTATCTTTGTCTTTGATGGTGCTGTTCCCGCACTTAAGAAGGCCACTATGGTAAGGAATTTGCAAAATTTTGACACACTAACTTGCTACCCTAAAGTGAATTTTGTCTTCCTCAATAGATGCTTAAGTGCATTTATCTGGTGATATTCATGAATAAAAAGCTGTGATGATTGCCCAGTAACTGAGTTTATTGCGTCAAAATCTGAAAATGAAATAGACCTCTTATTTTGACCTCAGTATTGTTGCCTGACATTGACTGCTTCTTGGTCAAGTTCTTCTTTTTATCTAGTGCTGCGGTTAATCCTTTGATCAAGGGAGTGAAATAATTTTTGGAGGCACCTGCTGTCCCAGATGTTTAAGCTACTACCCATCCCATGGAATGATTGATTCTTGCCCCACGCTGTTTGCTCCCGATTAACTTTGAATATAAACGGATGGATGGTACTCCGGTTTGTTCTTTTAGGCAGCCCGTCGAATCAGTCGCAGTACAGCCAAGGCGAAAAGTTGTCAAGCTAGAGACCGTCTGTTGAAACGTCTCTTTCGTCGTCTGGCTGAAAGCGCAGCTAAGTCACAGACGCCAAGCGAGGGTAATTGAACGTAGACTCTCTTTTGCACTGTCTACAGCGTGGTCATAAGTAGTTACGCTTCCTTTTCTTGTTCCTACAGAGCTGATAGCTGAATTTGTGCGGCGTTTCAACAGCACGGAGGAGATTCGCAAGGCTGAATTGGATGTGGAAATGTTCGGATCTCAGAGCAGCTCAATTGAGGCAGCGTATGTTCCTTTACTCAACGTAAAATAGGCAGCATTAGGCTGGGCATTGCTGCAAACCTATTTGCCGACAATCCCCTTTCCGTGGCATTTTGAGTCGCGAAGTGGAGAATTTTTTTCGTTTATGGTATTTTTCTAACAAATTTCTGCAACACCTTAGCAGTGCTTTTAATTCTGATCTCCCAATGATATCTCTAATATTACCCGCTTCTTTAAAGAGTGTCTCTGGTTGCCTAAATTCACTCCTTTGCCTTCGTAATTCTGTTTATTTTTTTCGCCAAGAAATGGACACAGTTTTTTCCCCATGTTTTCAAAATGCCACTATTATTTTGTTTCTACGTTTGTCGATGAAAGGACACGAAGTTAAAGTTTGGGGAAACCGTTCTCTTGATTGCCTAGGGGGATGTGCTGTCAATGTCGCGTCAAACTGGTACTTCTGGACTTGGAAGAGAAAAAAAAACAAATCTCGTCTATTCTCCTCCACACATTTTCCCGCTACGACTAGCCCAGCGTTAAACGAATGCCAGAGAGGCGGCTTCGGTACGGAAAGACTGTCATCCCTAAATAGTCTAGGCTTTATGGGCTGGGAGCCACGGCAACCAGGATCGTCACTGTTACCTACGAGTGGGGTGAAATAGTTTTACTAGAACTGACTGCCCAATCGTCAAGTATTCCGTAACTACGACCATCTGCGAGTCTTACTTCCACACACCATTACACGCACGCTCTACCGTCACTCTTGTCTGTCATCTTACTGAACTGCTTTCGAACTGGACTGGCTCACGCCATATGTGTTGGCTACACACTTGGCACTGATTATTGCGATTACTGCCGCCATGATATCATCCGTCTTGCCTGTTATACTTGAGTGCTTCCCATAATAACTTTCTAATCCTCCATTTTTCAACCGTTTCGTCGCCGATATAGTAAAAAATGGTATTTCTTTTCGAACTCATTACTTTCTGTCAAAATAGATAGTTTTATGTTTTTTAGGCCACCCACAGCTGTTTTGCAACTAGAAGAAGAACAGGAATCGGCTTCACAACTAGCCTGGGATTTTGTTGTAAGCTCTTTCTTCAAATTTTGAGCAGAATTTCCTTCATTTCTGTAGGATAACAGCCCCTCCATAGACTTACAATCAGACGCATTTAGTGCGCTGCCAATTCACGCTCAATTGCGGGTTATTTTGATCCTTCTAAATGCACAGATCCAGCCATCCTCCCAATCCGCAAGTTTATTAAAATTGAGATATAATAATTGCTACTTAGCAGTTTGATAAGTAGGTGGTTCATTTCAGGCGCGGGCAGGAGAATCCTTTTCACAGACGCAGGTGAATCGGCTCATTGCAAGACGCGATTTAGCGCTTAAGAAGGTGGAAATTGAAAGCAAAATGAACGAAGTGCTAGTTGCTTCGGTTACACCACGAAATCTACCCTCTGGATTGGATATGAGCGTCACTGCGCAGCGAATTGCCTCGCAGGATGAGGGTCATGCAATTTTGATGCGGAAGCGATCTTCTAAAGAGCGAGCTGATGAGTTGAAAGAGCGTTTAGATCGGTAGGATTTTAGACTCACGCTGTTGTTACTTTTTAGACTTCTTAAAGGTTCAGTCACTGAACCTGTCTGTGATGATGAGGAGGACTCGAAAAAGGCGTTGGAATTGGAGAATAGTCCACGAGACGAATATCAAATAGCCGAAGATCATAAGGTAGAAATGGTGGAAAAGATTATGAAGACTCTTGAAGAACACTCGTCATCGGAATCGGAAGTGTGTCAGGCTGCTCATGACAATGCCCAGTTAGAAGGGGGCGACGAATCCACAGATGGACCTTCGGACCAATCAAATGAAAGCACTGTTGACATAGAAGCTGATGATGTTAAAAACGAAGGGGAGTTAAAACTTAAAAAAGAATCAGACTCTGAGGTGTCTTCGACAGATTTGGCTGAATTCACCGAGGTCCTTGATGATACTACTACTTCAAAGGCTAGTAGTGACCTCAAACACCTTGCTAGCCAATCAGAAGGGAACGAAGATTTTGACCACAAAGGAAGAATTACAAGCGAGCAGAGCAATATTGAAGTAGAGACGGCTGTGATAGAAATAACTTCAGAGGCACCTTCATCTGATTCGGGAGAATTTGCCGATGTTTCAGAGCCTCCAACTCCTATACAGCCGGTTGAAACGTTGCCAAAAACGCAGACTTTTTTGGAGCACGAAGAGGAGGACGATTTGGCAATTGATGACGATATACTACGAGCGGAAGCCGAGAAATTAGAATGCCAGGCACAAGAAGCCACTACCAGTTGCGTTGCCGAGGCTCAGGTGAAAAGGCTATAGCGTTGATTTCTTTATTTGAGACTTCTTATCCTGTCATGATGACGAGGCAAACTTCTATTCATCCATCTCCCCGTCCATTTACCCATCTCTGTCTTCATTTATTTCGCCGATCCATTTTTCCATTTCAGATCCACTCATCCACGAGGGATACATTTATTATTTCTTTATTCCCATCTTGGATACATGTATCCATTTATTAGCTAGAGTGGATGGAAATTGTAGATGAGTGTGCTAACTACAACTCGTTTCTTCTCAATTTATTCCAGAGATTAGTTCAACTTTTCGGTTTCCCTCTCATCAACAGTCCAGAGGAGGCCGAAGCGCAATGCTGTTATCTTCAACAACTCGGATTAGTGGACATCGTCGCCAGTGACGACTCCGACGTTTGGGTGTTTGGAGCAACCCTTGTCTGCCGACACCTCTTTGGGAGGAATAAAGGGAAATCAGGATCGGGGTCGTCTTCTTTGTATTGCTTGAAAGACATCCGTGAACAACTGGGTGAGTAGTTGATGAAGTAGACCCTTCTTTTTCTTACGGGTAGGATGTCTACTTATTATTTTAAAAGTAGTGTTTATTCTTTGAATTTCTACAAGGTTTGGACAGGCGGCAGTTCGTGCGGATAGCCCTTCTCTGCGGCAGCGACTACACCGATGGGCTTGACAATATCGGACCCATCAAAGCATTGGAAATACTTTCTACCTTCGCTACGACCTCGGACCCTACTTTTACATCCGAGGAGCACGAGATTCTGCTGCCTTTAACGGAGTTTCGGCGGAGGTGTCAAGAACGTGGTGGTGGTGGTCGATGGACCAGTACTAAATTTCCTGCGGGTAGGCCGGTTTACTTAGAAGATTTCGTTTGCTAGACTTTCCTAGCGAGGCGGTGGTAAAGGGCTACCTATCTCCACGAGTTGAAAATGCATCCGAGTATGCGGGATTCCATTGGGACACGCCAAATCTGCTACCTCTGGTAAAATATCCTTTTCAAGCTCGACAGGTAGTCTAGAACAACTTTGCTACTTATTAATCGTAAGTAAGTGCTACTTTTAACATCAAAACCTGATCAATTGAATTGCTTTTCTGTACCATCGTTAAGGGTATTCCTCCTTTTTTCCGAACAAATGTCCCATCTTTTATGTGCCTGCAGGCGAAGAGCACTGATACTAATAATTCATGCAGAAAATGAAGATTTGTGGTCGAACGTGGTCTTTTTTGCCGAAAAATTTTGAACATCCATGCATCTGCTGTAGTTTACAGCGAGCCTTTTTCTAGGAGGCTTTGAATGTCCTCCTAAAGGCGGATAAAGTCATTTAAATTAGCCTTTTTATCTCACCTCTTTTTGCTCTCTGGTTTCCTTAACCACTCGATCACTTGCGACCACATATGCGATGGAGAAATTTGGTTGGTCGCGACAGAAGAGTGAGGGCACCCTCGCCCCAGTGATTGGTCGATTCAAGGCCACGTATGAGGGTGCCGTCGCCAGCACTATTCCTCTCATTACGGACTTTTTCCCGCGAATTGAAACAAAAAAGAAGGTACTGTTGAATTGATTGTCTGAATGTGGGATATATAAGTGATACGTGGGTACCACAGCGTTCGGAAATTTTGACCAATGGAATGGTGGCTTGTGGACGACTGAATACCCAGCAAGTAGTTATTGAGAAGTCAGCTGGTCCTTACGCGTTTTTCGTTTAGTTGGAAGGCATCTAGATCCTAATAGTGTTTTTCGAACTCAGAAGAAGGCTTTAAGACCAATTGAAAGTGATATCGCTAGGGTAGACTTTAACGGCATAGAGACTAGAAGAGGTTGTCTAGGTCAGCTGAGACAAGCGAAGTCTGTCTTGAAGAAAAATGAAACTAGCTTAAATGGCATTAATTTAAAAAGAGAATTTTTCTTAACGGGCTAGATGACGTTCGGATCTCAAAGCGGCCCTAGAAGCTTAGAGGAAACCTCCTGATTCGATGGAATCACGAGATGTGGAAGATGCTTCGGAATAAGAGATTTAACTCACGCAATGTACCCTTCGAAGTAGGAGTGCTTTTCAGTCACTGAAACCCGTCTAGATCTTAGCGAACTCATGCAGAAAAATGATGTCGCGTATGTGAATTTTGATTGGTTCAAGGAACTTGATGTTGATTGGTTGGAACTCGTCCAGATGCCACCGAAGCCACGAAACAGTATGGAAGGCTAGATCTAAGTGAAAATTACCCAGAGAAGTGTAGACCGCTCCAAGAAAGGAAAATTAGCTTCGACGCCCCATGCTAAGACATGAAGATGGTTTCGATTGGCCGAGATAATTCGTCTAAACTCAGTTGAAGTAATTCGGAGAAGTGTAGGCGACCCAGTGAAACTACGAAGAGTGGAAGTAAAAAGCTTGACTAAATAAGTGCAACCTCTGGATGTGAAGGATGCTTTAAAAAGTCCTTTCGATGGCTTTTCAACCTCAAGAACTACAAAACGGGAACTAGACAGTTGGACTCTTCACTTTTAGCAGCAAATGCAACACTCCTTTCCATCTAGGCGTCTTCGAGACTCACTCAAGCAACAAATCGGTTAAAGTATGCCACTGAGTTCCAGGACCTTCCCACTCTCGACACCGACTGGTCGACAGATGCTGACAATGACGATGAAGGAGCAAAGCCCTCAACAGACACGTCCCGGAGACGAAAGTCCAACGAAGGTAAGAGGGAAATTTAAGGTGCTTTTAAAAAAATTAAGCGTTCCAGATTTGACGAATGCCTTGCTCTTTACTTTGTAGAACCAAACAAGAAGACAAGAAAGCGGAAGAAAAGGAAGTAGAGGCGATAGGGGAGACGATAAATGGGTCTTTCATTAACTTTTTGGAACCTCTTTTTTACTTGTGAAGTGGCAGAACCAAGTTGTTTGCATGATGCATGAATAAACATTCACCTTGCAATTGTCCGATTGCTGGTGGTGGTGGTGAAGAAATCCAACGAAGACGTCCGAGAAGTCTTTTGGATGGTATTTACCTCGTTGAGATGTTGGGTTCAATGCAGGTGTTAAGAGTAGGAGGGCTTCCTTAATTTGATGCTTCAAGTCGCGTGGCTTTAGGATGGAGAAGATGGTGCCCAGGATCGCAATATAAGTGCATTCGCTACCAGCGTCACGTATGTGTGACGCCGGCTGTTTCCACCCAATCGTGTGTCACCAACAGGCGGAATGCCTTTAAAACCTCCAAATTAACGCGAGTCCCGAATGTTCTTCAGCTGAGGAGGGAGACTGCTTTTGACGGTGGTGTTGAGTTTTCCTTGGGGGCTCCAGCAGCGTGGTAGGGCCTAAGAATCTGGAGGTGGCTCTGTCGTAGACCTGCCAAAAGGCTGGAAGAACGGTAGTGGAGCTCTAGCTTCACCGTCACGGGGACTGAAGACGGGTTGTCGGTGTCGTCCTCGACACTGTGTGGTCACTCACCTGCTTCAACTGTCAACAGGGTCCAATGTGGTGGGTGCAAGCTGTTGTTTCACTTGTGGAATTTGCGGGATGCTGCTCAATGCTGAATGACACGTGAAAGCGTGGAGAATGTTTAGATTACAGGACTCGGATTGGGGGGGGGGGGGAACTTCTGCGACTTCCACATATGCGAAATTGGAGCAGACGACCTGGTCACAATCATCATGGTTTCTGTCTCACCTTCGGCTATTCTCAGCCTCTTGGACCGTTGACGAAGGAGTTCTATTCCCTCAAGACTACCCTCGCTCCCTTATTGGTCGTCACACCGACGCGGTTCCGTGTCTCCACGATGCTGGTCATCCACATAAGATGCCTTTCTTATAAGGCGTGTTGGCGAGATTTTCGCTCCCTTGGAATGGGCTCGCTCACCGCTGCCAACAATGTGGCCTCCTGATTCTCCCCTTCCTGAAGTCGCAATGGAGCAGACCAGTACTGAAGAACGAGGGAGGGGGGGTGACTGGCTGAAAGGTCATGTTGCCATCTACCAACATAACCGTCGTTTAGTTTGCCATCATCATCAAGGCAGATTGAAGAGATCCACGTGAATTGTTGCCTTTACAACCTCTCTTGTCTGTCGTCCTCGACGCTCTCAGGAATTACTCTGTATTTTTCGAATCGATCCAAGTCAAACGGAGGACAAATTTGACGATGGTTCAACGATTGCCCTTTTAGTTCCATGGTTGTGAAGAAAAGGGATATCAGTCCACCTTCCACAGCTTCAATTCTAATTCCACCTTCGTTTAGGTCCATTCCAATATCCAAGACAATCACTTTTCTACTCCTTCAACTGAATCTGTTCAATGTGCAAATGAAGCTTGCATTCGACCTTCCGCTGTCAATTTCCACATATCTCGACGCTCATCAATTTCTCTAGCACAAAAAAAACGTCGGCCACCAATATGGTAGCCAAGGTAACTCCTGAAGGTGTTACAAGAGGCACGAGTTTGGAGATGGCTTGGCTGGGAGATCGGACTGCCGTTTTTCCGAAAGTGAGGAGAGGCGGGACAAGGCACTCGTTGAGGTCAAATAGACAAGATGGAGAAATCGGAATAGATGTTCGACCGCGAAATTCGTAACTCTCCTGTTAAAAAGATGAACTTATGACCTGTTGATCTATCATTAGGGTTAGTGATGTTGTTTCACCTTTCCTTCTGGTCGGGACCCACCTAGATGGACGGGTACGGATGGATGGATACGAAATAGATGGATAGACGGGCACGAATAGATGAATGCGAGATGGATGGATGAGTATCAATGGAGGGATGCAAGACGGACGGAGGGGTACAGGTAAATGGATGGATGGACGGGTACGGGTGGATGGATGTGGAATGGATGGACGGACACAAGATGGATGGATGAATACGGGATGCAGCCGCAATGGTTGGATTCTAGACAAATGGACGACCGAGTGAGTCAGAGACAGATTGACAAGTCCGCGCAGGAAGGTTGGATAGAGGTAGGGTTAGGAGAATGGATGGATAGGCGAGAGAATTTCAGGATAACATCGGTGAATGCGAGGAACGCGGATCAAGGGTTCAGCAGAAATTGCCTTCCACATCTACCATACATGGAACAGAAATTGGACAGCTCCTACTAGTCTTGTCTGTTGATAGCTCGGACGACAACCTGTCAAGGGTGCCACTTTGTCCTCTTACTTTCCTTTTGCTTTGCACGTACCTTCCAGGACTGGATCTGACAACCAGATGGATGCGAGGAAACGTGGAATGATGGATCTTAACTAGAACCAGGAATGATAGGCAAGTAGGCGTGTGGATAGATGGCCCAGGAACGAATAAGCAGACCAGGTGTACTGACGGAAGTCTGGATCGACCGTTTGGACGGTGGAAGGGAGAATGAAGGCATTCCATGTGTTGATGGTTGAAGTGGCGGGAGTACTTGAAGCAAAAGGCGCGAATGATTGAGCTACGGATCGAATGGGTCCAATCTAATTCTTCCCCCGGAAAGAGACACCTCGGAGTAGGTTCACGAATCAACGGATGTTTCTAAGGAGTGCATCTTCCAGGTGCTCAAATGGGGATGCTTCGACACTGAAAGGATCTGGATTGCTTCATACCGACAAATGTCCCAAGGCTGTCGACCTCGCCAATTCGTTGTCTAGCCTTCGTAGAGGGTGCGGTAGCAGGACGTACCACTCGGTAACCATTCAAACTGCATTGCTACGAGCTGGACGATCCTGCTAATCGGGATGATTCGGTGTCGACGTGTCGAGACCAATCATGCTTAGAGTGGACAATGAAGAAGTAATTCGATGAGTCCTACCTCAACTGGAAGGGTCATGTTAGAAGCTAACATTTCAAGCCGATGCGACAGCAAATGACGGTGGACCTCAAAGTCTACCGATTTATTCCCCATTTCTTCAACTCGCAAAACGTGATTGGCATTACTGCCAGCTGTCTGTACTTCGTTTGTTCACCGAACGAGAATAGCACCGGCTGTTATTCCGCCACCCACTTCCAAGGCGCGCACCGCTTCCCAGACGACGTTCTTGATTCCTAAATGGCAACTCGATTTCCTCTTTGGAAATAGCTAGAACCAATGGATCGACGGGGAGAAAGTTCCATTCCTACACCGAAGTGGCTCTTTGCCTTTGGCAGAACATCTCGAACCACCTTATCCTCCAAAGACGATGCTCCCTCGGATGTGTGCGTGGTGGACTGCAGACGCAATGGCTGAGATCCACTCAACACAGTCCAATCAAACTGGAACGTGTGTAATACAACTTCTCCCTTACAAAGACATGGAACTAGTGCATTGGTCGGACGAAGGTCCCTTCCTATTCTCGCAAGATAACGCAACGCAAGACCTCCATGAAAAAGAGCCTTACACAGCCACCTCAGGGTTGATAGAAGTCACATGCAAAGTAGACGGAGATGGGTACGGGGAGATCTTTTCCTCCTAGAAATAGAAGCCTTCAGCAGTTCGTCAAACCTCTTATTGGAAAGGGGCAGTACGAAGTCATCCGAACCGCGAACTAGTTCCAGCTATGGCAGATAGAACAAAACTTTAAGTCAACAGATAACCGGCTGAAATGAAGAACTCCTTCAAGGGGGACGACAACCGTCCTTCGCCCCGCAGAGCTTTCTCCCACCTCCCAGCAATTGACCGTCCCGAAGGCAGATCCAACAGTACGGCTAAATCATCTCAGAACAGTCAGCACTACTGTGCCCTGCATACTGCAACGCTGACCTCTGAGGCCGATACGGTTGACCCATTGCGTGGAACAGACCTGGCAGAACACGAAATCTCCGCGTGCAAACACAAGAACGCCACAACTGAGAAAAAAACTCACTTCCACTCAATCCTTGTGGTGTGGAGTGAAACGGTGCCCCGGGTCGCAATGAGACGACCCGGAGGAGCCTCGCTAGATTGCGCCATCAACTCGGCGTGCAACACCCGATCCGGGGGCGGAAGGCTTCGAGAATGTCGAAAGCCCAGCCCGGCGCCACACACAGGAGGGAACAAAAAAAGCACAAACAATTTATCTCTAATCTAAACACGGGAAGGATACAAGTTAACTCCTCCTCTTCCCCCTCCTCCTCTACTAGAAGAAAAAAAAAACAACCCCGAAGAATAGATCCCAACGATTTCAGAGCCTGTCCAAAAAGTAAAAGACTGTTTACCCGTCTACCTTTCCCAAAATCCGATTGGCAGAGGTAGAGGGTTTGGTACAAAAAGGTTCAGAAGCAGAGTAACAGAGTAACAACTGCAGCTAAAGGGGGGTGCGGAGGGGTTACACCGAGACACAAAAAACGGCGGGTAGGGGGTACAAAGGGACTGAGACACGCAAAAATTGCAAAGCACCTTGGAAAGCGTGCGTGCTGCGGTACGAGCAGAAAAGTTTTCCTCTTCTACGTCTACAACAGCATGCGGGCTGGCATTTCAATGAGACTCTTGAACTCCTTCAACCACTTTGCACCAACAGCTCCGTCCACGACGCGATGGTCACAGCACAGTGTCACGGCCAATTTCGTGACCGCCTTGTGTCTACAGAGAGAGAGGGAGAGAGAAGAGGAATGTGTCGTCAGAACCCAAATCTGTAGAAACTCAGAAAAACTTATGGATGGGGTATTCTTGACGAGGAGGCATTCATGGATTCGATCAAAAGCGGGTAGCATGAAATGCTTCCAGAAAGAGCGATCTAGTGGATGCAGACGATGATATTCACGAATCGAGTCAAGGATCCGGAGTTTTAGTTTGCTCAAAGAATAAAAAATCAACTGGTGGAATTTGAGAATCGGTTCAAACAAACACCGACACTCAACGTTGAAATAGGGACCAAGCAAAGGGTGATGGAATTCAATCCAAAATGCAAGGCATTCTTAAGCTAACACCCAACCTCATCACCATCAATAGGGCGTCCAAATGCCTCCTTCAACACGCCTGCAGGCCAAATAGAACCAGTGCCCAGAATTCCTATCTCAACGGCTGTGACGAATTCGTCGACGAAACAACAATTCTCTGCTCCAAACACCAAATAATGCCCAGAATGTCGTCACTTCGGCCTTCAATTCAATTGCATTGCTAGGGAAACTTCAATTCTCCGTAACAAAACCCAACGTACCCCTTCTCCTCATCAGGAACGATGACCTGTTCCGATCCACCAACGGCGAGAATGCAGGCCTGGGGTGGATTGATGATGGCACTGAACGACGAGATGCCGAACATGCCGAGGTTGGAGATGGTAATGGTGCCGCCCTAGATGTGGAAGGGGGGGGGGGGAGGAGCAAAAGAAAAAAGCCCAATTTCAGCAAGAATTGCATGAACAAACACGCACACATAAAGCAGCTGCTGGGTGCTTGTGTGCTGTGCCAAGCTGCGCGCACGCGGCAAATCGATAGCCTCGGCTGGGGCGCTGTGGGTGTCACCGCACCGTAACGTAACCGATACCTTTGAAAACGTTGAGGGCAGAAAAATTATGCAAGACACGATTTGCTCTCCCCACGTTTTGCTGTCAAAAGAGGCGGCTAGGAAGGTTTGAAGGCCAGTAATTTTGATGTCAAATACTCTCCCTCCTCATTTATGGAGAGTCGTTCCAAGAACAAAAGCAGCGCCAGAAAGGCAAGTAAAGCACATCGAGAAGGGATTTGGGGAATCCGTGGAGGATTTCAACACTTCGGAATAGGTGAAATAAAATGCAAATGCCCTTTCCAGGCTACAGTAAGAAATAAATGCCTTCAGCAACTCCAATGCCATTGGTTAGAAATGCAGCCCTCTCCAAAACTAACCTAAAACGAATGGCTAAAAGTGTTTTTCTATTACCGCTGCAAAGTGGAATTCGTAGTGCCGTATTTCAGTGAAATAGGACTACCACGAGATTTCCCGTTTCTGAGTGACGCCGATTGAAGCGGATCGACACCTGGCAGACGACCAACACTCGTGGTCAGCCGACGTAAAAAGGAAAAGTCATTTCGGCGCCCAAGACATCCACTCTCGATTCACCTAACTCGCTATTCAACAAAACTCCAAATCAGAATGGATGCAGACGCCTCGTTCCTCGCATCAAAACAACGTCCAGTGGTCTGCGGAATTCTGACAAGCACACAGCCAAGCAACTGTTTGACGGGCTGAAAATAGGCGGAGAAATCTTCATGGATTAGCGGGAATTAAACAACCTTAAAGACGTCTCGCATGATTTCATAAAAACAAACACATCTACAATACGGAGAGGCCTAAAGCAACACCTTCATCAGAAATAACCAACAATGAGATGGAATCTTCAAACCACGAACTGCCTTCACGCGAATCGCTGGAGGCTTGAAAGGCTGTCTTTCAGAAGTCAAATTAAAATTCCAAGATTCCGGCTCCTTTTTTCCCCAAAACGACCACAAAGACGCCAAAAAATTAAGCTCCGCCCCGAAAGAGGCAAAATCCCCCTCAAACTCATAGCGAACCAGTGCTTCTAAACTGGACAAGTTGAAATGAAGGTTCAAAATTGAAATTATTAAAAGAAAATAGAACTGAAACCTCACGTAGGGGCTTTTAAAAACATTTTTAGAGTAAAAAAGCGAGTTATTGTGTCCGCTGCTCACCTGGAATTCTTCCGGCTTTAGCTTGTTCTCTCGCGCTCTTGCCGCCAAGGCTCGAACCTCCCGACTGATGGTGAGAATGCCCTGGAAGCCACACAGAGAAGGTCAATTTGGGGGTCACACACACACAGTCTGTGTATGTGTATAGGACGAAACTAACCTTTGCGTCGGCATTGAAGATAATGGGAGTGATAAGACCACTGGGCGTTGCTACGGCGACACAAACATCACTGGAAGTATAACTAGGTGAAAGAAGATAAAAAATAGTAGTTCATTCAGACTTGGGCAGATTATTTTAAAAGCACCCGGCTAGGAAACAAAACAAGCACATCTAAAACGATTATCTTCTACCCCAGCTTCGTAAACGCCACATTAAAAAAGTACGAACCATCCGAGGTAACCAACATCTGGCAACACGAAGCAGCAACTTACCGACGAATGAAGGTGCCCATCCATGCGGAGTTGCAATCGGGCACAGCCTTGTTGGCAAGCGCCATGGCCTTGATAAAGATATCATTGACGGAGATTTTGACAGGTTTTTCACCGGGTGCCGCATGCGTCACCAACGAGGCATTTACACTTTCACGCAGCTTCAGAACCTCGTCCAGCTCGACCTCCACAGTGAGGTAGTAGTGCGGAATCGTCTGTTTCGATTCAGTCAGGCGTTTGGCGATAGTCTGCCAGGAGGGGGAGGGAAGAAATGAAAATGACATGAATGGAACTTTGGCCTAAATTCGGCACAAGGGTGTATTATTTTTAGACAAAGTGGTGCTATCACAAACCTAAATTAAGCATTGCATTCATTGCAAGCACGTGTGTGGATTAAATGATGCAGTCCACTTCTTTTTTAGCCGGTGGAACAGCGTTTGCAGGGCGGACGCACACCTTCGAGTAAAGGACTTAAACAATAATGTCATCACGACGCGAAAAGCACAAATAACCTGAGTCACACCACCGCCACCACTTCAAACGAGGCTTTGATGATGCAGTGGATAAGCACACGTACTTAGAGCTACTATTCGTTCACGTTTTTAAAATTACTTCCACCCGAAAACTTCTCACCGGAGGTTGGTGATTTGAACTATAGACCATCGAAAGGCACAGTTGGCGAAACTTCGAAACCAAATTAAAAAAAATACCACAAGCCTTTGGAAAATTTCATTAAATAACGGCATCAAGATCGCCTAAATCAACCCCCCACGGATTAATGGGGCCTAGAGGTAACAAGAAGACTAAGGCTTAAATGCAAGAGCTTGGAAACGTCAGGGAGTTTTCAACCTTAACAAGGGTTTAAAGGACATTCCATATCAAAGATCTGCCAAACCAACGGTTAAAGAGAGGTTGTTCAAGTTACAATCCACCTAGAAGCAAAATTGGCGGGGCTTTCTCCCCAATTAATATCTACTAGAAGCTTACATAAAGAAGCAGTAAACCAAAAGCCCAAACCCTACTACAGGGACCCTCAGACTGTACAACACTCATTGAATCCAGTAGGTACCAGAGACGCTAAATTTAACCCGCCTCATTTACAGTGAGAACCGCAAACTTGACTTACAGAGCGCATTCCAGTGAGCGGAACATCGGTGTAGCCAGAGGCGGCCGGTGCACCTACAACAATGTTGTCCAGATCGGCCAGCACGAAGCAGCCATCCACGCCACTGCCAGTGCCGGTGAGTGTGGACAAATCGATGCCGCGCTCAAGAGCGACACGTCGGGCCAGTGGGGAGATGAAAAGACGAGCACCACTGCCGGCTGGACGCATGGCGGGAGCCACAGGAGGAGGAGGTGGCGGCGGTGCAGCTGCTGGTGCGGGCGGAGGTGGCGGCGGTGCAGCTGCTGGTGCGGGCTGAGGTGGCGGCGGCGGAGCGGCGGCTGCTGGTGCAGGTGGGGGTGGCGGTGGTGGCGCTGGCGCAGCGGAGGGAGCAGAAGCCTATAAAAGGGAGAAAAGCTTACAGTCAGTAAGAGCAAAGTTCTATTAAGGATACTGAAGGTTGAAAGTCGTCTTCCCGCCTTTAGAGGATACACACATTTCAATGAAATGCTAAAACGTGATTGTGATTTTACCAACGCTTGATTTTAAATCAACGGGGGTAGGGAGGTCATTTTCGGACGATGAAATGGATAAACGAGTTGACTTGACTACACTCCCTATCACAGCCAAAACCTAGACCTCCCGTAGCTGATCTAACTGAATATTTTAACTTCAGTTGATGCTGAACTAACTATTTCCCCCAAACTAGACAACAAAGTTACAGTGCATGATTTTGCATAATGGAGGGCCATAACACGACCTCCAGGGCACTGAGTTCACGTCTGCATAAAAAATCAACAATCAGCTAGCAGTGATTGAACTAGTCTGCCTCTAAAATCAGCTTGAAGTCGAGGACTAAATCTCTACTTCCTAAGCTGATTTGATGATAAGAATACTGCGGTCATCATGAAATGATCAGAAAGGCAAATTGACAAGACCAAAAATAGATTTACCTCCAGTGTTAGTGAAAATAGTAAGCTTAGGAAACCTCGCTACCGTTTTAGTGACAAAAGTGAGGCATTCTTGCACATTCGAAATGAACTGAATTGGATAAGTGGCTAAAACAATTAGTAAAAAAACTGATTTCACCATTGAGAAGATTGGCCCATCACTAAGGCGGGATGGGCTTCGCAACAAGCAATTCATTCTTATAAACAAGTTCACTATCTCAATTGGACTTTGTGTAACTATTACCGAAGCCGGAGAGTACGGCATTTCGCAAGATTTTCAGGTCGCATTAGGGGCCTAGCAACTAGAGAAACAATTCAGTTCTTATTTCAGTACTTAAGCATATCATTCTAAATTTTCTAGCGCGAGCTCAAATTGCGCCAACGTGAATCAACTTTATAAGTCCCAGATCATGGAATTTCATGGTAGACTGCACCATAGATAATCAGGCTTTATCACTAACGGTTGGAACTCACCAGAAGCCCTTAACGAGGTCATATTAAGACAACAACTGAGAGCTTCGGATCAAAACAGAACTGAGGCCACGCAGGTTCCAATGTGGGCGTAGTATAAACCAAGGAAAATGCTTCTGAAATATTCTAATCAATCTAGAAACAACGTAAGAGACTGAACAGAAACAAAAGTGTCAAATTAGATGAGACGTTAAGAAGCAACGAAGGTAACAACCAACTTAAAATGCAGACAGTAAGGAGGACTTCTGACGCCTGTTTATGAAGCTCAGCCACAGCAACAGACAAAAGGGCAGCAAGCAAACTAGTTTACTATAAGGTATGCCTAAACAAGTCCGATTCCTACGAGGAACGAAACCTCAAGAAAATTCGACCTTAAAGGAAGCAGAGTCGGAACAAAACCCGAAAGGATATGTCTGCACAAATGAATAGTCGGTATGGAAATTCAAAAAGATGACTTCAGCACCATAACACAAAATAAGAAGGAAGAGCTAACTGAAAACTAAAAGCCTGTCAAAAGGCCAGAAATTACAGAGTAGTAGAGCAATTAACAAAACCACATACCCCAGCAGACTCCGGTTGGAAGTCCTTAAAGGCACCGATCGAGGCCTCATCCTCAACAATGATCACAAGAGGCTAAAAGAAATAGGAAATTACAAGAATGGCGACGCATGTCTTACAGCTCCAATAGGGACGTTTTTGGTGCCCGCAGGGACGAGAATTTTGGCAATGTAGCCCTCATCACTGGAGTCCATCGACATGGTGGCCTTGTCAGTCTCAATTTCAGCCAACAAATCACCTTCTCCCACCTGATCACCCTCGTTCTTCGCCCAGCTGACAACATTGCCTGTCTCCATGGTTGGAGACAAGTTTGGCAAATTGACGACGACATGACGTGGTAACGCTGGTGGAGAACAACAAAATAATGCTAACGGTAGACTTACAAGAGAAGAGCCGAGCAGAACCGAGATAATTGTGTTGTAATTTAGTGAGAATCCTGTAACCAAGTTGGTAAAACCCGGGAGAAATCCAGACTTACTGATGTTTGGCGAAGAGATTTTGAGGTGTTCTCACTGGGATGGTCTGGTAGAACCTACCGAATGCGGCAAGAGGTAGAATCTTGCCACAGAGATAACGACTAGAAACGAAAGCACCCCTGCACATAGCCATGATTGTCGACAAGGCGGGACACAGCCACGGCACACTATGCCAGCCAGGGAAGTGACTTACTTTGGTTTTAAATTATTTATAAATTTGACTTAAAAGCTATTGTTAAATTCAGAATATGAATATTTTGCTTTAAATGCCCTGCCAAAATTAACCCACTAGTATTTACCACAGGCTTGCCTATTTGTTGTCGCATTTCTTGGAATTTTTGAACAATTTTTCTTCTAAGATTTTTTAGGTTTCTTTAAAATGTGTAGTTAGGTAATAGGTGTTGAGGCGAGAGTATTAAATAGCCAACCGGAAGGAAGAATTTTTGTCCTTGCAAATCAATTTTCTAAACTGAAATTGTAGTAGGCACAAATGGTACATTGTTATCTGGTCATAATCTTCAGAGACAAAAGTAGCAGATACGTGCACCATTAAAATTCTACTTTGCACAAGCTCTGCAGGACCTACACGAAGGTAAATTAGCAAAATCAAAAATTGGAATTCCAGCATCGACCGCTTTCGAATACTCTTACTCTAGTGTAATACGATAGTGGTTTATCCCTCGGTTCTGGTGAGGCGCCACTTTTGTACTTCGAATTAGCCCCCTTGTACCTCCCTGGGTGGGCTGGCCTTTTGGGTTATGCCAATAGCCCAGACACCTTCTCCGTGCTGAATATATGTATTCTGCCCGAGTATTGTGCCTTCTTTTGTCTTAAAGGAGTCTCGGGACGCTACACCAGGTTTCAAATTTTTGGTTTCCTGGGCTTGTATACTACTATTCGATCTGGGGCAGTAATTATGATTATAGCCCTCTTTAAGCCTACAAGTTATTTACCTACTTTCCGATATATATTCATCCATGTCTTACTGAAGTTTTCAAATTTTTTTCATGCTAATAGTTGCTTTTGTTTTTTGCTGCCATCTTCTCAATATCGGAAAGTTATTAAATTATGTACCTGATTCGCTCTCAAGTTGCCTGGTAATGTTCATGAGCACATCTAGTTGTTTTATAAGCAATCCAGCTACTTTTTTACTTTTAGCTTTTTAACTTTTAAATGCAACTTTTGATTTTTTTTTCGGCCTTATGTTGAATTTTATATATGCATATGGAATACGATGATGGTTTATCTCTCGGCATTAATGAAGTGCCACTTTTGAACTTTTGGGGCTGCACTGTTGTACCATTGTGTGGGCTGACTTTGGGGCTATACCAGCAGCCCAAACATCTTCTGTGTGCTAAATACATGTATTCTGTCCGAGTATTGTATTCTCTTTTCGTCTTCAGGGAAGTCTCTGGACGCTACATTGGTGTCAGCGGAAAGTGAAGCAATCCTAGAGGTTATGTATCCTAATTTTCACTGCTGCGTGATAAGCCTCAGCGGAGCGGAAGAGGTGCATATGCTACAGATGGGAGAATGGTGATAACCCCTAATAGGAGGGTTGAAGCTGACGTCTACCTTTGGCGTCTATCCCAGTCCCGTGTCTTGCAGGAAAGCTATTAACAACTGAAGCGGCACTAGCCGTGAACCGTCTGGAAGTTTAGTTACGGACTTCTCATACTCTCTTAAGTAGGGACAACGTGGTAAGGCGGAACAGACTTCAAACCCCCCTCCCTCCATGGACCTGCCAGTGTTCCTACACCTATCTATGGCCAGGCATAACCGCCAGCACAATTCCCCATTTCTGAATCAAGTTTCGGAACCGGACGAAACTCCAGTCCCAGTTAAGTTGGCAAGAGGGGTCAGTGACTTTGAGGTCAAGTATCTCCTCAGTTGCACGCTAATTTGGTGACTGGCACGGTCGGGTCGCGGATGTTTCTTTACAGCGCCGACTACGTTGTAATGGCTGACGCGTGAGGTTGACCATGGGGAGCGTCGGACATGACGCTCAGAAGAGGAGGGAGGCTCTGTAATACAGTGGTTGCATATCTTTCGGCATTGGGGAGGCGCGACTTTTGGACTTTTGAATTTGCCTTCTTGTACCACGCTGGGTGGGCTGGCCTTCGGGCCCTGCCAGCAGTCCAAACACCTTCTCTGTGCTGAATACATACTTATTCTGCCCGAGTGTTGTGTCTTCTTTGGTCTTCAGTCAAGTCTATGTATATGTACATATACAAACCCAGCTGTTATAAGTGATATTATCTAGTAACTTGAATGATTACTGTTTAGTTTGAGTGCTTCAATAACAATTCCACATTTTTACCGCTTTTTGAATTAGGTAAGCAAGACAATTGGACTTATTTTATTGGCGGTGCCTATGGGCTTTACGGATTTCTGTGTATGCCTATTTTTCTCACTTACAAGTGTCACACTGTTGGAAGTGTGATTTTCTTAAAAACGTGCGAAATTGTATGCATTTCTTTAATATTTGCTCACACCAAATCTACGTTTTATGCCCAGCAATATTGCTTCTTTAGGCTTTATTCATTAACCTCACAAGTGGTGTGCGTGTTCAATGGATGGGTGCCTGTGTCGATGCCTGTTTTGCCGTTTTTCTGCAGTCTTTTTTTCACAGAAATAGGTCAAAATCTTCACAGACGGAGTAGCAAAGAAGATGGAGGTCCGAGGAACATGAAGCAACGTCGTGAACCACTTCATTGTTAGCGTAATCGAAGGTAACTACATTGGCCACATCCATTAAATAACTCGAAGTCCACTGATCGCACGTTCGTTTGTATCCATCACCGAGCCAGTAGTACTTCCATTCCCTGTATTGGAGAAGGAAAACCCTCTTTCATTTCCATAACTTACGGAAATTCTACGATCTGACCTTTGTGCTGATGACTCTAAGCCCCATTCCCGGCATTCAAGCCCCTCTATACATTGGCAATAAAGTTACTTCTAGGTTTATATGCCTCATGCCTTCTTTGAAGTTTCACTGGATGTGCTATGGATGGAGGAACCCTCTGTCAAATTTAAGCAACTGTTTTTGCAAAGTCAACGTCATTTAGCTTACAGTGGAGTCTGGGTAGAAATGCTGCATGGATTCAAAAAAGATGTCCAGTAAGTCTATGAAATGGCGACGCTTATCTAACTAGGATGTGATTAAATTAGAAGGTTTGAGATCATTATTAACAGGTCTCAATCAAGAACAAGGGGTCAGTTAGTATAGGAAATGTCTGGCCAATAATTAAGCAGGCTTAGACATTTTCTAGCCACTTATTTATAAGGCAGTAGTTAATGCCTACCTCCTCCTTTTGATGCGGATAGATTCAATTGTTGTGGTAGACTTTCCTGTAACGTCATCTGCTAGTCCCTTTTCTTCTGGGGTTAGCTCTTCCCTTTTTCGAGATTTCGGTTGTAGCTAGTAAACTTTGGGAGTGCTCCACATTTGTCCGGCAAATGCGGTCGCTCTAGGTTTTTTTTTTTCAGTCCACTTACAGAGGGAAAATCTCAATGCTGAGGACACTTACTGTCGCAGGCGAATTTGAGCTCCCCAGTACACAAGCACAACTAATATTGACATTATCTATTGTGTAACCAAAAGTTGTCCTTCACTGGTATTTTTAAGTGGCCCATATGCTTCACCAATACCGATAAGCACACAAAATTAAATCACATGCTCTAAATATCAACGCACTGGTAAATTAGTGCCTAAAATAGCGAGATTTTAATTGATTTCTTCTGATTTGTATGACATTTGACCAAATTTACAGGTAGTTAATCAATTCGAGCCTGACAATCTGAATTGACCTTGACGTGTTCATTTACGCCAACATTTCGATTTGACCTTGAAATAACTAATGAATTGCCGACAATCCGATTAAACCTTGAATAATATTTTTGTTTCATAGCATCCATGAAAAAAGGGTCAAATACCTACCATCGAGGTCCAGTAGAGTCCTTTATCCCATCCATCGAGATTAATGTAGCATTTGCCAGTCTTCCGTCCAAAAAATCACGCCAACTTCTGGCTACGAGTTCACCCTAAGGATGATGGCACAAAGAAAAGTCGATTTATTTCTTTTTTTACAGAAATGGATGCGTTGGGATCTATTTCATGAAGTTAGATAGACTACTTGATTGATACAGGCAGCCACTTAAAGGAATGAACTAATTGCCCACGGACGGCACTGATGTATGTCGCACTCATGTACTTTGTAGGCTCAGTTGTCGAATTTTATTTCTTTGTCACTTCTTGATGGAGATTTTGACACAAATACCAGCAATAATAGGAGAAAAACTGTTTCCAGACAAAATATTAAACTGCTGTCATTGTTAGTACCGCCTTTAGTGATTTTTACGCAAAATGCCCCAAAAAATATTCTTTTGCGACGGTTTTATCCCTCCGACCTGAACTTATTCATCAGCCCATGCTAAAGACTGAGCAAGCTGACTACGTACAAAAGGCTTGGCTTACATGGAGGTTAAGGACAGGCAGGACGGAGAGATGACGGGGCAAAATTTTTCCTAGAGGACGGTTTTTCGTGGTAAGCAGGGCTCGAAAACCTCCGTCACTGAAGAAGGCCTCACCCGCTTCTCGACAGGCCATCTCGGCCATGGCGTAGCCGCGAAGTTCACCACCTTGCAGTTTATAGGGGTATGGCGCCAAAAAGACCTGAGATAGGAATTACTACACTTGTATATCCTATTACAGCAAATGTTTGGAAAGGCAGAAAAGTGGCTAAACACGCAAAGTGGTTCGAGTGTAAGCAATTTTACAAAGATGCTTCCTGCACCACTGTCACGTATGTGTGACGTCCAATCCTCTCAATATTATCCGACAGCTCCTAACCTGTTCATGGCTAATTTTGGTTATTTAGTATTCCTTTTTCAAATTTCATGCTTTATATTCTAAAGTCACTTACTTTTTTCCCTCCGAATGGGGTACGTTTTGGCAGCCCTTGTCCTATGAATTCTTTCTTCACAGATAAAACAATTAAATAATATAATTAAATGAGCGACCCCTCTATTTATTTCATCAAATCAAATGTTAAGCTTTAAGACACCTACCTTAGGCACAGGGAAATTCACCTTTTTTCCAAGTTTCTGTAAAATGATGAGCAAATGTAAGAGTTCAGTCGATTTTGATCTCTAGTTTTAAGAGTGTATCTAACTAAAAATGATAATTTTGGTCACGATTTTTGGTGGATTAATACTTAATATAAAACCACAAGTTATGCCTTTAAGTAAATGTTTTAAAACTCAATGAAACCCACACATTTTGGTCCTGAAACCATCAGCAAATTCCATAGTATATTTTTTGAGTAGCATGGAATGTGTTTTGATATATTTCGTTGGGTTAATTTGCCTGTTAAATAGGAATTTAGTCGCATTTATAGGGCAGGTGAATTCCAATAGACACAACTATGTCTATTGAATTTGCCTATAATAATGTTGACCTTAACATTCCGCTTAGTGCATACGAGTGCACTTTTCAATACGGATTTTCTTGTGCTGAAATACTGCTATTGGGCCTGACTAAGCTTTCTTTAGACGGCTTTAGGCCCCAAGTACTTTTATGCCAAACCATTTCCCGTTCAATTATCGTTTAAATGACTGGTGCAAACAACAGCAGCCTTTCCTTTGAGTAGTAAAACACAATGATTCATTTGTCTTACAAGAGCATAGCTGAAATTTTTTTGCAGCATTTATAACTTTATTGTAAGTGTGTGAAATTTTGCAGTTTTCTGAACCCCATTACAGTACAGTTTCGAAACTTTCATAAACTACTATTTAAACGCCTTCATACTTGTTAAATTATTCTTTCGTAAAAAAGTTACCCATGGAAGGAGCATCCACAGTTTATCTTTTTCTACCACACCAGTGGCAAAGTTGGCCAGAGGTTTCACCACAGAATTGCTTTCCCTTTGAAAAGGGCGTTTTAAACCGTAGATGGGCACGGCAGTTCGGGGTAAAACCTGCAAAAATCTCGCAGAATTAGATTCGAACGAAGATGCTAAAGACAGTTTTGTCAGATTTTAATCTGCATTTTGTGCTGTTTGGGCACTTTAATCCTCGCGCCTTGCATTTCTGTCTTTGAGGCATCTCTGCCCTAGTGTTACGTTTCCTTTCGCCTTCAGGGAAGTCGGGTGGCGCTATGCGTCTGCAGCTCAGTTTTCCGCTTATTTATATAACTGTTTCCATATGCACGAAGCAGATGGCATTTACCTAATCAAAATGGAAATCACAGTTTTGTTGGTGGAATGGATGAATGGTGCGTGTAAAAGTAATCGCTTGTGCCAAGCACTAACAGACAGATCTAAAATAAAAAACAAGTTTAAAACTGATTTTTACACATCGAAATTGGCCTTCTAGATTGTATGCGTGCGGACCGATTACACAAATGGCTGCGGCATAAGCCCACACACGTTTTCTGTGACCCCGCTCGAGACAGCCAATCGAGGTGCTCAGGTCAAGCTATGCGAACATACATGGGCTACTCTTCAACAGTAGCCGGACTTAGAAGCTGCAATGCGACCGATTCAAACCATATATGGCAAGGCCGTGCGGAGTAGCTCTAGCTCAGGTACAACCCTAGCCATATTTGGCTATCGACACCTTAACTACTGGGCTCCCAAGTTGGGCGCCGTGGCGTTACAATAGTTCAGTAAAACGTGTTTTTTTTTAAAGAAAGACGATATGCTGTTTTATGTGGCGCCCATCGAGACATTTTGACATTCATGAAACCGATGATATTTCCTGGTTTAAAAAAAATACTGCTTCGACATTGGAATAAATAAACTTTCTTTGCCCAACTGTTTACACAAAAATCCCTGGAAAATGCAATATCTTGTCAGAAAATTGCTTCTAAAAATAACTCAAAGATGAATTATGTCTAGTTTGACTACGTGCTTGAATGTTTGGTACCACACTGTTACCAGTCTTCCACGTCTGCCTCACACTAGTAATGGGGTGTTTTACGCCCCCCTTTAGTGTCTCATCAGGCTTCGCATTACTGACAAAAGTGGATTGGTTTGGAGAAAGGGGGCTCTGACTTATAAGAGAAGGGCCATGGCTGCCACGTTGACCATCGACTACCACTTGGATTCTCACATTTTTGGTCACTTTCCTGACTTTCTTAATGCATAAAAGGATTTTATTTGACTGATTCAAACCTCCACTATTCTGATACTTGCGAGGTTTTTTGGTGAACTAATGCAACCTAAAGCGTGTTATGGATGTTTTACGATTGGTGATTTGTCACTTTTTAATTACACGGCCCCCTCGACCACATGGCAGCTACTAATTCCATTTCTTGACATGGCCTTTAAGTTCTGTCAGCACCATTTCATCCCTTCTGTAGGTCAGTAATCGATGCTTGTAATGGACTCTGTGAAGCAATCGACGGGGTACGGTCGAATCCCAGAGAGACAATGACGCATGTTTTTTGGCAGAACTCCTCTAATTCTCATCTGAACCACACAATTATGTTATAGTCTATCAAAGGCCTTTACGAAAACATTGTCTTTGGATTCCTCCTTCGAGCTGGACCCCTGCGATTTAGCTTTCCCAGGAACTTTCACTGATTATCTGTTAAGTTTACGGAACTGACATTTTCGGAGGCGGTGGCTAGAATGTGGCCGACTTTATTAGTTACAAATTTAATTCACGTCTCGTTTTATGAAGAAAGCGTGCACAAAACTTAAAAAAAGCTTTTATTATTTCCTTTAAGTTGAAATTTTGAAGAAAGAAATCTAAGCTATTTGACTCACCGTATTGCCTTCATCCTCGTAGTAGTTCCGCTATAGTTAAAAAATTTTTAAAAAGCAAATATATTCCAGACACAATTTCTATCAGACAGTCATTTTTTAATACCCAGCTTTGAAAGATGGTATTGTATATTTTTTAAACGCATCTCAAATCATAAAACATATTTATTAGTTTGTGGTAAAACACGACTATCTTCCGCTTTTAGAGCTTTTTTGTAAAGCCGTCCTAAAGAAGGAAAAGACGATTTCCCTATTAAAAACGGCCTTTTCAAATGTGCGCCTTTTGGTTGAATCTTAAAAGAATGAATCTGTTATGAAAGAGTGCTTCTGAAAGAGGCTACGTACGTGTAAATGAGTCGCAGAATGCGGCATTTTTTACGACGGCCTTTGTTTTATCCCTCATATGGCCGACGCCATGGCAACGGCGGGAAATTGGCGTCAAATTGATTTTTGATGTGGCGGATGTTACCGAGCCGATATTTAATGTTCATTTTACTATCACAAACCAAGCTATATTCCGTTGTTGTATGTCATATGTTATTACTTTTGATATAAGGTACCTTGCACGTCACCATATGTGCTATACGTCTTTCAGACATTCATATTTTGTCCTGGTATTTTTACCATGGGACCAAGCCTTATGGCTAATTAGGAAGCAAAATCTGTCATTTATAGGCAACCTAAAGATCCTAAAAAAGAATTTTGAGTAACACCATACTATTGATGGACGGCTGTTTTGATAATGAAGATTTTTACAGAGAATGCGTGAGTAGATGTGCGCACAAGTTCGAGACATTTGAATCAATCTAGGCTGGTTGAATGAATAGATTCGAGGTGCACAAGTTAAAGTTAATAGAATCTAGACAATTAAATCAGGGTGGAATACAAAAACAAGCGATGGATTAATTTTGCACCAATGGATGTGATTACTCCCAAAAAATGTTTCCAGGATGGATGAACAAGTAGACCTAAGGAAGGATGCATGCCTCAAAGGTCGATAAATCTGTAATGGATGAATGTGGGCTGGATGGACACAATATTAGTGAATTGATAGGTTAGGAGTGGATAGGTGGATAAATCTCAGATGAGTTAATAAGGGGTAGGAGCCGAAAAACTTTAGCTTTAAAACATTGTAAGAATTACTGCCACTTATTATAAAGAGTTAGACAAACCACATAATTCTGTGAAACACTGTTTGTATAAATGCGGATCTAGTTGGGAGGGTGCTTTGGTCCCCACGTATTTTAAGCTCGATTTGACAACCTGACCTCCAGTCAGGCCTGGAGCCGTCCAAGCCGCTGGCAGGAGATTTGTGGCAGACCGCTCTTCTCTATTGGCATGCGTTGCTACGCCTTCGACGAGGACGACGTAGAGTTTTATGGCTAATACGCTTTTTCTTGTCTAGTAATTTACCAAAGGTGCTTGAAGTGAAAGACCAAATGCGGAATTGCAAGGCATCTCTTCTAGCCAATGTTTTAGGTAGATAATTAATAGATGCGCAAGAGAGAAAAAAATTTCAAACTATTCAATTAGGAAGGACCAAAACTTAGAAAAATGCCATTCCTTTTTGGGAGAAATGAATTAGTGAAATGTCCGAACGACTTAAAAACAAAACTGAACAGTGGAAAGAACTCATAAGGTAACATGGGTTCTTTGGTAACTAAACGAGTAAACGAGAAGAAAATTAGCACTATAATTGCGAAGCAGTTCAACGTCGGTAGACAAATTGCCCTTCAGTCGGTAACTGTTGCTCCGCACAATGCGATTCCTTCTTCCATTCAAACTGCGCATCACGGTCTCGTGCCCCACTTAGGTTGGATTCCGGACCCTTCGCGCATCCAATCACTTTACTTTCCAAGGCAGGAGTGGGAGTTGGGGGTGTTAGTCACACCTAGTCGCGCCATGTGCTTACGTCTGTCTGGCTATTTCTGTCCTGTTCCCTTGTAATTCACTAGGGGAGTAGGTTAGTCAGGATGAAGATTGCTGCGCAACGTCTGAGCAAAGGAGACCGATGAGGAGGTGAGGGAAAGAGGATTACATGTTTTTTCCACTCTGCTGCATCAGCATTTGCGCAATGAGCAGGACGACAAAGTTCTTCTCCTGCCAAATGGTCTGAAATGTACAAAAAGGCTGCGGCCGTCCAACTTGCTGCGGTCACGACCAAGGAGTGGCAGGTCTGAACGTGGGAGCAGATTAAAAACACCAAAAGGGTGGCAAGTGACGACATTAGAGCGCGTCTAGTTATGACATTTGGCTCTACCTGCATCTCAATCATGATGACCGCCGAGTTGGGCGCAGCTGAGGCCTCTGAACAACTACTCCGTCCCATTATCCTCCTCTTCTCCACCTCGTCCGCTTTTAAAGGTGCACAATTTTCCTGTACAAGTTGTTGCATGGTATTCGGTGAAGTTGCGGCAACAGTGGTGCATAAAAATGTGGTTGTGGTGGTGAATTATGGGGTGTTTTCCTCTCTCCTCCCCCACACTTGTCGGTGAGAGGCAATGCATCGTTTCATACAGCCAACAAGCCCGAGCAACTTCCACCATATCCACGGGGTTTTAGAACAGGCGCAAAGTAGTAAAAAGTACATCGAAGTGGGCCGCAAGGAGAGAAGACTACCCTTTACCAGCCTGTACTTTATCCTACCAATAAATAATCGCATACATTTCACAGCCTCTCATCGAGTTATGCGGTAAACCGCACCGGCATTATGGTCATCTCAAGTGTTTCGGCACATCCATAGGTCTGAGGAATAAATATCCCCTCAATTTTTCCCGTCTCGACCAAATGGGAAACTTTTAGAATGGTTGAAAGGTGAGTAGGGGAAGAATTAACTTCAAGTCTTTTTCAAGGACACCTTCAGTTGAATCACTGACCTCCTCAGTTGTTGCATTACCTTCCGATCGCCGGAAGAACAACTTCTGCCTCAACAACATAGTGACCACGTCTAACCTAGACGTTAGGCTCTTGGAGTCCTTCACTGAGCTCCGAAAGGAGGAATAGACTTACACTGCTTTAACATGTCGGCTATTTGTCAAATGCGTGGTTTCCACCACATTCACTGGCAGTGTCACGCATATGTGACGTTGACACGACACAAACGCGTGACATGTCACGATAGCAGCAACTACCCAAACCAAGTCACACCAGGGACCTACTGGTTGCTTGTACTTGAAAAATTAGCTTGACGGGACAAAATGCACGTTGATTGGTGTCTTGTTTGAGAGAACAAAATACTTGACTGACTGTAGTGATGGTGCCTTCTCCGGGAGCAAGCCCTGGTGGCGAATGTGTCAAGTCGCCTGCAAATTTCCCTGCCAAAACACGACTATTAACATAAAATATGTGCACAGCTGTATCATCACCTTTAAAGTAATGTAAGTCACCCGCTGTGGTTTTGTCTTCTCTTTTTCGTCCCGCCTTTAAAATCTGTAAAGTTGCGGTTCCAAGTAAATAAAATGACCTTTTCGCAGTGTGGTGTGCAGAATTGTAAAATTGCTTATTTAACTGCACCTTTTAGGTGACAAGTGGTCTGTTTTTGCCCCCTCTCCTGGCTGAGCGCACGTTTCCGTTCCCCAAGAAGGAGACTAGCGCGGGTCCGCCTCCCTCCTGCCCTTTACCCTTTCCAAAGAGAACTAGTCTTGCCACAGGAACTCCTCTCGATCCAAGAGCCGGTAACCGGAGGAAGGGAAAGGAAACGGCGAAAATTTTTACATATATTTTAGCACCTTTTTGATACCGAATTATTTTGGTGATATACTACTTAAATGAGTAGTTCTCCCAAAAACCTGAAATGACAATGCGCACATAGTTAAACATTCCGACACTTTTTCCTAACTAAATGAGGTCTTATTTTATCAGTGAAAAAAGAACAATCAACGGAGTTGAAGAGGTCTTGAGTGGGAGTGTTGAGGTGGGGAGGCCACACTTGTGTCTGTCAGCGGAACCACCACATCAAATCCTGCCCGTGAAGCAACATTTGTTCTCAATCCATTTTTTTCACTCAATTATGTAGTCGAATGCGATTAACTGTGCTTTTAGTTCATTAAAAAGGCAAAAAAATAAGTACAGAAGGGGAATGACGGCAAGAAAAGACTTATTTGTTCTACTGGTGGAAGGAAAAACGTTTTGTTGAAAAAAATGCAGATTAAAAAAATTTGTTGGTCCTAAAGCAGTCAGTAAAATAACAAAACGTATCAAAGAGGTGTTTAGGAAAGCTTGAAAGACTTTTTTGCTACTAAAAAAGATGTGGGGACGAGATAGGAACAGGACTACTTATATAAACCTGTTTGTAAGTAGTATCGAATGGAAAATTTCTCTTTTTTGCTCTAGTGAAAAAAAAAGACAATTGGTGAGCTTAAACACCACCAAAAAATACCCTATTGAGTGGTTTTCTCTGTTTAAAAGGGACAAACTTCTCTCACAGCGGTTTAAATACTAAACGACTTTATCTCTTAAACAAGAGAAAACTCAAATAAGGCACAAAAAAAACTTACGGCAGCTTCGCCGAAGTTGACGTGGAGGAGAGCTAGCAGTCCCAAAGCCACCGTCCAAATCATCACTGCTTCCCTCTTGAATGCTTTGAAAATCAGGAAACCTGTCCAGTACGCAGGCGTGCGTGACTGCGTGCGCTACCCTCGCCCTGATTGGCTGTTAGGGGATCTACCTTCTTCACTGTCTGGCCTAATTAACTACCAGGTGGTGTGTTAGTAACAATGCCAAGGCGACTGGAGAATAGTGGTTGGCCAAATGACGTGGGTTCAAGCAATATGGCATGGGATGAGCGAAAATTGTTCTTGTTTAAAAGGTGGCTACTGGGAGCTGGATGTCCGTGTCTATCAGACTGGATCTTATCCAGTTCCCAGCAGAAGTAATCATGCGTCTAAGACTTAGATAAATACGTCTTTATCAGTTGGCGGGTATGGGTAAGTAGGTGGGGAAGTGCAGAGCGGGCGCACTCGATGGTTGACGGGGCTAGGGGAGTGTCGGAGACTCCGGGTGATATCAGCCAATCAGGAGAGACGGAGAGAGAAAGTGACTTTTTACAATGGAAAATGGGAAATCCTATAAAAAACAAAACACGAATATTCTCAAGGTTTGCGAGCATCCACATCAGTTGCTGAAAATAATTTTCTGATTAGATAAAAAATGCTGAGAGGTGCACAATGGCTGCGGTACAACTACTGCTGTGAATGGGAGGGAGGCTGCAGACATGGTCTTTCAGACATACCGCAGGATGGAATTTTCAGACTGTCTGTGACTGCATGGTATGTAAAAATAATGATTAGGAGAGTATTTCTTTAGTTGATGTGTTGTAAAAGTTCAGTTATAATGATTTTAATGCCTCTGCACTAGACTTAAACACGACAGAAGTAGAGCGTCTCTCACGGCTGGATGGATCCGTGAAGACGCCTAGCAAATGAGTCAAAGACGGCGTCCGCCCTTGTCAATTGTCACAGTCTCGTGTTTCACAGGAATGGAATTAAGAATTAAACAAAAAACTTGGTGCATTTGGAAAACATCCGCTACGAAGGTGCTTACGCCACGTGGATAAGCTATACGGCCTCCATGAAACCCGAATAAGAGATTGATGGAAAGCTGAGGGGATGGATAGACAGATAGATGCATAGATGGAGGGATGGGTAGAAGAATGGACGAATGGATAGATAGATGGATGAATGAAAGGATGGGTGGATAGACAGATGGATGGCCAGATGGACAGGTGGGTGGATAGACGGATAGATGGTTAGGCGAATGGATGTCTAGATGACTGGAAGAATGAATGATTAGATGGGTAAGGTAGGAATAGACGCCAACTTTGAGGCAGTGCAACGATTCAACCTTCACGTCGGGATGGCAATGTGCTTAGCTACTCGTTTCCCGGGTGTCACTGGCTCAAACACATCTCG